TTTTTTTTTTTTTAAATATTTTTTATTTATTTCTAGGAGAGAGAGAGAGACAGCGTGAGCAGGGGAGGGTCAGAGAGAGAGGGAGATACAGACTCTGAAACAGGCTCCAGGCTCCGAGCTGGCAGTCAGCACAGAGCCCGACGCGGGGCTCGAACCCACGAACCGCGAGATCATGACCTAAGCGAAAGTCGGACGCTTAACCACCTGAGCCCCCCACGCGCCCCGAGCTTGTAGCAGTTTCTAAAGCGTGGCGCTTAGTGAGGTTTTCCGATTAATCCACAGTGTGCAGGGAGTGTCCTCACGCTTGAGGCCTTCTTCGTGGGTAGGATTACGTCCTTGGGGTGGATCTCCCAGAAAAAAGATCAGGGGACACGCGGGGGAGTGTATTATGGACACGTGGGGACATCCTCTCTGTGGCTCTGCCTGCAGGTCAGCGGAGTTGGATATAACGGCAAAGGCGCCGTCTGTCTGTTACCCTCAAAGGAGGTCATTAAGGAGTTTAACAACGTCTCAGTGGGGAAGTTAGTAGAGGTGAGTGTCAGAGCCCCACGGTGGAAACAGACATTTAAAAGGAGCTGACGGGTATTCTCTCCAAAGTCCAAAGGGAGGAATCGCTATTGGACCAACTGGTTGGGGTGTGGCCCCGTGGCCCCAGGGGTCAGGCGTCACAGGGGCCCAGGAACAGATGGGAACATCTGTTAAGCCCTCCGTACTCCTCCCTGCCTGCTGGAGAGGCTTCAAAGAGGCGCCTTACCCAGTAGGTGTTCACTGAACTTGGCCAACAAACCTGTTCAATTGCTGATACGAGTCCTATTAGCCATACTCACGCCTCCCATACACCCAGTGCCCTCCGAGGTCCGAACCGAGCAGCCGTCTTCTAGAATATTTAGTGAGCTGTGAAGGTCCCACCTCACTGGTGCCGCTTAACTATGCAGAATGGTTCTGGAACATTCTGTAGCACCCCTTCGAGGCCGAGGATGGCCCTCTGATCTCAGTGTGCAGATTAAGAAACGGGCTCATAGAGGTGACGGGGGTGCCCGGGATCACCCAGCCAGTGAGGGGGGGAGCTAGGATTCACCCCCATGCTCGCTTTGTATGTCTGTTTCTTTTATTTTAAGTGTCCTTTTTAATTGAGAAGGACAGTCCTATACCACAGAACTCACCCCTGTAAATAAGGCGTACAGTTCAGTGGTTTTAGCGCCTTCACAAAGTTGTGCGGCCACTGCCACATCTGATGTCGGGGCAGTTTGTCACCCCGAGCTGGGACCCGAACCCACAGGGGGTCCCTCCGTTACCCCAGCGTCCCCATCACACCGCCTCGGGACCACAACGTTCAGCGGAGTCAGTGAAAACTCACTGTGTTTATTTTGGAGAGCGGGGACTCTGGTGTGTTTTGAAGAGTCAAACCTGCCCCTCACGCCCGCCCCGGCGCTCGCCCCCAGCACGGGCCAGGCCTTCACGTGTGGCTTGTTCACGTGCCTGAGTGAGCCCAGGACCCCGAGGGGTGCCAGCTCCGAATAGTAGCTACAGACATTCAGAACCCCCCCCCCCCGCAGGCGGGCTGTGCGGCCAACAACGCCGTCATCAGGAAAAACGCCGTGATAGGACAGCCCACGGAAGGCGCCCTGCTCGCCCTGGCAATGAAGGTAGGAGCCCCCGGACGGTCTGCGCCGGAGCGCGGTCTCTCGGGGCTGGATTAGGGGCGGAGTTCGGGCTCCTGCCTGGGGAAGCTTGGTAATAAGGGAGGAAGTGGCCCCAGACCTCCTTAGGCTGTCGCCGACTCGCGGAGGGGATGGGATCTGAGATGCCGTGTGGTTCTGGAACATTCTGCATGCCTCTAACCCTTCCCGGCAAGAATGCTCGGGCGCCCCGTGGCTCAGCCCCCATGGCGGTGCTGGGGAGACAGGAATGAGACCCACCGGCGGCCCCCGAGCTCATGTGGGAACACCCCTTCCTTTTAGGGCATGTGACTGATCGCAGGGCTCCGCGGTCAGCCCCCGAGGTTGTGACTTGGGGAAATGCCCCCACCCTGTGCCCAGAGCCGGGTGTGGGGCGGCTGCCCCGGGGGCTGGAGGGGCGGGCGGTGGGCCGCGAGGTGCCTGCCTTGTGCACAAATGGGAGGCGTGATCACACCCCTCCCAGAGGGGTACAAGCCCGCCTCGGGGGGCGTGTCCTGCACAGCTGCCCCTCCTCCTCCTCCTCAGCCCTCTGCCTGCTGCCTCTGGTGCTGGGGCCCCTCCGTCTGCCCTTCCTCCCATGGCTGCCTCGGGTTTACTGCCCTTCCCTGCTCATCCAGGCCCCCAGGATGGCTTCCCCGTCCCTCCCCCAGCCCCAGGCGCCCATCTCTGCCAGGTTCAGGCAGACTGTGCTGCAAGGGCAGGGGTGAGGCGGGGGAGAAGAGTCACCCTTTTAATAAGTCCCTGTAGGGGCGCCCGGGTGGCTCAGTTAAGTGTCTGACTCTGGCTCAGGTCATGATCTCGCGGTTTGAGTTCAAGCCCCACTTCGGGCTCTGTGTTGACAGCTCGGAGCCTGGAGCCTGTTTCAGATTCTGTGTCTCCCTCTCTCTCTGCCCCTCCCCTGCTCATGCTGTGCTTTCTCTCTCTCAAAAATAAATATTTTAAAAATTTTAAAAAAAATCCCTGTAACTGTAGGGGCACCTGAGTGGCTTAGTGGGTTGTGTCTGACTTTTAATTTAGGCTCAGGTCATGAGTTTGAGCCCCGTATCAGGCTCCATGCTGACAGCACAGAGCCTGCTTGGGATTCTCTCTCTGCCTTTCCCCTTCTCTCTCTCTCTCTCTCTCAAAATAAATAAACAAACAAACAGAAAGCCTCTCAGAGAGAGAGGGAGTCACAGACTGAAACAGGCTCCAGGCTCCGAGCTGGCAGTCAGCACAGAGCCCGACGCGGGGCTCGAACCCACGAACCGCGAGATCATGACCTAAGCGAAAGTCAGACGCTTAACCGACTAAGCCACCCAGGCGCCCCCAGAACCCTCTCTTCTTTACGTGTTACGCGGGCCTGAACGCCTAAGGGAGCCTGGTAACGGCTGACACGTACAAAGCGCCTCCCGTGACCGTGTGGCAGGCTCGGCGCTTATCACGTCCCTCCTCAAACCCGCCTCAGAGTTTAGGTCAGTGGCTCTGAACCGTCTCCCTGAATCAGTGCCTTGTTGGCTCCCCGGAGCTGCTGAAATCAAGGGCCGCAAACGGGGCGCCTGAAACAGCGGAGTTTACTGTGTCACAGCTCCTGAGATGGGGGCCTGGCCCCCCGCCCCTCCAACCGCGGCCAGTCGTCCTGGATGTGGACACACACTAATGGCCTCATCTTAACCGGCTTACGTCCCTCAGAGACCCTATTTCCAAATAAGACCGCGTTCACAGACACCGAGGGGTTAGGACTTCGGTGCGTCCGGTGGAGGGACTCGGTGCGAGTCACAAGACCCTCGGGAAGAGCCTTTTAAGACGTTTTTTGCCCCGATCACTCCCCGTGAGCTTTAATCCCACATAGAAACTGTGTGTGCGGGTACTGTGTGTATATATGTGGCTTATATATAAAGGAGTAGATTTTTGCCCCCTAAGAATCCATTTTCACCTGTTGCAGGGGGAGGGAGGCATGGGATGCATGGGTCGGGACTGGTATACAGTTGGGGAAACTGAGGCTCGGAGATGGCAAGTACCTGGCCCGAAAACTGTCCACGAATGTGAGGCCTGGCAAGGACCCCGGGCTGTCACAGCAGGCCACCCCACCGACCAGGCATTCTTTTGGGGGAAATTGCTACATCTTTCAGTCCGAAACGTTTCTCCTGGAAGGAGCCCACAGGCTTTTGTTTCTGAGCACGTTTTAGCCAGAAGCTGCTGCAAAAGGACCAGCTGGTTCTGCCCTGGGACCAGAGAAAGGAGACTCCCCCCCCCCCCCCCCCCCCACCCCCCCGCCAGTGGAACGTTGGAAAGCAGGTGGCCTTTCTCTGCGAGCTAAATGCTTTGATTTCTCATCCGCCGGAAATGGTTTGAATAATGAATAACAGAAGTGGGCTGAGCTTTGCATAGAGACTGGTTTAGGATAACTCACGAGGGGCACTGCCTTTGATTTTCCTAGATGGACTTAGGGGATATTAAAGATTCATACGTGAGGAAAAAAGAGATTCCGTTCAGCTCGGAGCAGAAGTGGATGGCAGTAAAGTGCAGCCCCAAGAATGAGGTGAGTTTTCTTCTCTGCCCCTTCCCACCCTCTCCCCGACACCCCAAAGAGAGCAAAATACAGGTGCGAGGCGGGGAGGGTTGAAAGCTCCCCCCTGCTTCTGCGGAGTTTCAAGTCCATGAGCGTACACTCAATAGCAATTAGACTTTCCAAACGGTAGTTGACAAAGCGGGCTTCCCAGGCCAGCAGCACCCCGTGGGGATCGGTTAAAAATGCAAATTCTCAGGCCCACCAAGAACTCCTGAGTCCGAAATCTCAGGAGCGGGAGCCAGTGGGAAGCTGTGCGTGCCGGGAGTTCCGATGCGTGCGCCCGCCCTTGCCAGCAACGCTCTTGCTCACTCGGAGGTCCGTTCTTCACATCCCGGTGCCGAGCTCTTGACAAGTATGAGTGCCTTTGACCGTCACCGGGTGGGGACAGTCCTGCATGCCTGCAGGGGGTCAGGAGGCACATCCCAGCACCCACCACAGAGGGTGTGACCTGTGAGCTCCTGCGTCACACACGCACCCTTGTGTGCAGCACCTTCGTATCTTTTTTCCTCACCAAAGACAATAGTGATACATTCCCGTGGAAATAAATTATAGAAACGTGACTTAAATATGGAAAGTCCATCTGATCCCGCCCTTCTTCCCTCCCGACCCATCACCTCCCCAAGGCAACCCCCCTCAACAGTCTGGGATGGAATATTCCAGGTTCTAAACACGTTTATGACAACACATGGTTTTAAAACAGGGTCGTGCGGTATAAGCATCTAATTCGCTTCTCTCCCTTACAGGGATGCCTCAGGCATCTTTCTGTATTGGTTCACGCAGGCTCACGGCCCGCCTGCCATGGGCGCTCAGGCGCCGTGCTAACCGGGGACAGAGTGTGACCCGCACTGGCAGGTGCCTTCCGCGCGGACCTCACCGTGGCAGGGGACAGAGCCTAACGAATGTGCGGGAAAACAGGCTCGTTTGGGTTCACTTTTAGGAGTCACATGCAGGGGCGAACAAAACAGAAACGGCACCTGCCCTTGGGACGCAACACTCCCGATTTAAATAGCAGTCTAGCGATCCGTGCCACACGTAAAGGCATCCTGGTGGCCTTGGTGTGACTGATTAACGGAATGTATGGGGCGCTCTCAGTGACGTTAACAAGGGACTTAACATACAGCACGCGTGCGGATCAAAGATCAGCCTCAGCCCTTTTATGGGCAACGTGGTGGCCCCTCGTGTGGCTTTCTGTCATTTATCTAACCTGTCCTGTACTGGGGAGCAGTAACAATCCGCTATAAATAACCCCGCCCTGAACATCTCTGTGTGCGTGAGGTGACAGTCACCAGACGGCCCTACAATCCCAGGATGGCGGGCTTTTTTCTTGTCTTTCTTTTCCAAGGACCAGGAAGACATTTACTTCATGAAGGGGGCCTTCGAGGAAGTGATTAATTACTGTACCATGTACAACCACGGAGGCATCTCCCTGCCACTGACGCCCCAGCAGAGAGCCTTCTGCCAGCAGGAGGAGAAGAAGATGGGGTCGCTTGGCCTGCGGGGTCAGTACCTCTTACCCCCCAGCCCCGCGCTTTAAGTTTGCACGTGACATTGACCCTTCAGGTGCACGAATGCGGGGTCCTTGGGAAGGGGATCGGTCAGAACTGCAGTCAGGATCATGCTAATGAAAGTAAAGCAAGTGTGGAATTCAGGGTCACGTGAAAGGCAGGAGCCCCCCCCCCCCGCACCCCCTCCCCCACACCCATCTCCGCCACCAAATGACACGCGTTAGTCCCGACGCGGCTCGTGTGTGTGAGGACGGCCGGAGCCTCCCTCCTGAGTTTTCTGCCGGACGAGTGAGGCATCCCACAGACACCAGTGTTCCCGATCGGTCGTCTTTCTCACCCCCTGTGGGAAAACCCGCAGCTCTTCTCAACCAAGGTAGACGTCCTTGGCTGGTTCCAGTTTCCCGCACCAGGGACAGAGCCTTCCCTGGTGAGCGGAACGTGAACACGCCTGTTTCCCACGCTGCCATTGGTCAGCCTGGCCCTTTTCAGAAGAAGTATTTGAAAACGCTCCTGAACGCTGGGATTCCCTCTCTGGGGAGAGTGAGAAGCCTTGGGCTGGGTCTCGGTTGCCTTGGTTTTTCCCTTCGGGAAAACAGAAATGATCCATTGGTAGCAGCTTGCCGGCAGGTGTACGGGGTGGGATGTCACAGTTTGCTGAGGCCGAGCTTAGCAGGGCCGGGGTAGGGGGGTTACCTGCACCTGGTCCCGTGGAACCAAAGTCTCACTTTCTGCCGCTCCCAGCGTCCCTCCATTTCTCCCTGCGGTTGGCCGACCCCTGGGAACATCTTTGGCTTCCTTTCCTGGTCCGGGAACATTGTGCCCAAGCCCCCCTCGGGCCTTGGAGGGGCCCGGCTGACCGGGGACGCCCTCGGCCCACGGTGGACCTTCGTGGCTCTTGGTCTCTCCTCAGTGCTGGCCCTGGCTTCCGGACCCGAGCTGGGGAGGCTGACTTTCCTGGGTCTCGTCGGAATCATCGACCCTCCGCGGGCCGGCGTGAAGGAGGCCATGCAGGTCCTCTGTCAGTCGGGCGTGTCCGTGAAGATGATAACGGGAGATGCTGTGGAGACGGCGTCAGCCATAGGTGAGCGGGGCGCGGTGGGCGCCGGGCGGGGAGCGGGGCCGCCCCGTGGGGCAGGGCACCACAGCCCACCTGCCGTGTGCACACAGAGACTCTGGGTTCATGGAGCGGCGCCCCCCCCCATCAGAGATGGTCGTCTCTAATACATCGGCAGGTCCTCCAAAGGGGGCAGACCTCCCGTGTGCGGCGGGCCTCTCAGCCATGACCTTGACCTCACTGCCTCTTCCCAGGCAGCATCGTTGCCAGCGCCGGGTTCTGGTCCGGTTCCGTGTGCCCTGGGCGGGCCACTGAACACCCTGGCCTCCAGGCTCTTCTCCCTCGGGGGGGGGCCGCCACCCTCCTCCTCTCACTCTTCTTCCTCATGTCTGGTTCTCCCTGCTCTGTCCCATGGCGCCCAGTGCTCTGAAAGCCTCAGAAACTCTAGACTCAGACAAAACCCCGTCGGGTTCCAGTATCGCCGCTCAGCATCTCTGGGACCTGGGGGGGTCGGGGGACGTCACTCCCCGCCGTTTCCTCATCTTTCAAGCAGGGATAATAAGGTCTGTGGATGGAATGGGCATCATGTAACGTAGCAGGTGCTCGGCGGGGGGTAGCCATCGTGGCTTTGCTCTGCTCATCGTCTGCAGCCCAGGCAGGGGCTGGTGTCAGGCAGGGGGAGTGAGGGGCAGGAGCGAGCCCTCAGCGCGGGCTCTGCACACCACGCAGGAAGGAATATCGGCTTGTGCAACGGGACGCTGAAAGCCATGTCCGGGGAAGAGGTGGACAGTATGGAGCCGAAGGAGCTGGCTGACCATGTCGGGAAGGTGGGGTCCTCCCAGGGGGGCCGCGGGGGGATGGGTGGGGGCAGTTCCAGCTCCAAGTTCACGGACTCTTCTTCTGCGCCTCTGTACCCAGGTATCGGTCTTCTTCAGAACCAGCCCAAAGCACAAGCTCAAAATCATCAAGGTGAGCTGTGCCTCATGCGTCCATTGGGGTCAGTTCAGGGTGGTGGCTGTGCCCCGGGGTGGGGGTGGGGGGTCCTGGGTCCAAGCTGGCACCAGCCTTGGCCGTCCTCAAGTCGTGCTTCCGTCTCTGGGTCCAGGACAGCTGCCCCAGCCCCTGGGAAGGGGAGAGCGGGGTGACCTTTGCCACACACACCAGAGACCGGGGCAGGAATTGGGGGTGGGGGAGCGCGGAGGGAAGAATAAAAAGCGGGTGGCCTCTGTTAGTCGAGTGCTCTGGCCTTATTCCTATTACTGAACTCCGGGCCTCAGGGTCCCAGTCTGTAAACTGGGGGTAGGATGAATGACATCAGCCAGTTCACAAGGCGAGTGAGGATTACGGGAGGCTGGGCGGTGAGGCTCTGGGCACACGGCGGGTGCCCCGTGGAGAGGGGACGTGATTCTCTGCCCGCGCCTGGGCGAGGGCCCTGCCGGCGCTGGGTCCTCCACGTGAGCACCTGAACGTCCGCTCTCGGGGCGCCTGGGGGGCTCGGCCAGTTAAGCATCCAACTTCAGCTCAGGTCGTGATCTCACAGTTTGTGAGGTCAGGCCCCACGTCAGGCTCTGTGCTGACAGCTCAGACCCCGCGTTGGATCCTCTGCCTTCCTCTCTGCTCCTCCCTTGCTCTCTCTCTCAAAATAAGTGAATTTTTTAAAAAAGAAAAAAGACAATGTGCTTTTTAGCTCTGTGCTTTTATTCTTTATGCTGTTTGGGGGTTTTTAGTTCTAGGGAGTCAGTCTCCATGCAAGTTATTCCTAAGAGGAAACATTAATACTTCTGGGGCACCACATGGCCTCAGGGTAAGTTGTTGACTTCTGTTTGTTAGTGGAGAACACGGAATGAGCCCGCGCAAGGGTGGGCGCGGTCACACCCGCGGGCCTAGTGCAGGCTCTCCTAGGAGAGACAGCCGCCCCCACTTGGCAGATGGACAAGCTGAGGCTCAGAGGTTCGGGGCTTGCCTGGTTCCCACAGCGGGTGCAGGTGGGGCTGGGACTCAGACTCGGGCCAGCTGACTCGAGAGAGAGGCCTCCGCCGTCAGCCATGCAGTAAGAGAGGCACAGCCTCCAGAGGGGAGGAAGTTTCTGGAAGGGCTGCAGCCTTCACTCACCTCCTGTCTCCCAAGGCTTTGCAGGAATCGGGGGCCATCGTGGCCATGACCGGGGACGGCGTGAATGACGCAGTCGCCCTGAAGTCTGCGGACATCGGGATCGCCATGGGGCAGGCGGGGACAGACGTGAGCAAAGAGGCTGCCGCCATGATCCTGGTGGATGACGACTTCTCGGCCATCATGTAAGTGGTTCCGTGAGTGTTGTTCAGCCCACGGTCACCGGCTGCTAGGGAGACAGATGTCCCCAGGTCTGCACCACACTTAAAGCAGGGGGTGCAGGGCGCAGGGGGTGCTCCAGACCGTGCAGCAGACGCAGTGCACAGCCTGCGGGTGCGTCTCACGGGAAGCGGGTCAGGTGCACGGGCGGAGGCAGGCACCCGTGCGGGGAAACGCTAGGCCCCAGACCCCAGCTGCCCACGGCAAGGGCAGGGGAGCCATTCAACACCACGTTCTGAGAAACATTTTAAAGACGCAGGGAAGCCCTCACACTGTGATGGTAAGTGGGAAACAACGAAGAGTGAGTATGTGCGGTCTGAGGCGAGGGCCGTGCGTGTGCGTACATTTCACACGCTGAGAGCCGGGGCGGGAGTGTCTGTGGGTTGTTCGCGCCGATCGGATCTCACGCTTCCGAGATTACAAAACGCCTGTTTTCCTCTTTTCTTTGTTTCCTTAATGAATTTGCCTTCCCTCTAGCTCTCATTTTAATTTGTTCTAATTAAGACTTTATTCATAAATACATTATGATCACAGGGGGATTGGCAGAGGAGTCTTGCTACGCCTGGTATCAAAAATCTGAAAATTGAAGTTTGGTGTGATTTTTGACTTTATAGGGGAGTCTTTTCTTTGTAAATGGATTCGCCTTAGGAGTCCTAAGCCCACTTCCCCCTTAGTTTAAAAAAAAAAAAGGCCTAAGATGCAGTTAATAAATAAGTCTAATTTTAGTTCTTTTGCAAAAAAAATTCGTAGGAAAAAAGTTTTCTGCATTAGTGACTCAAGATCAAGTTCTTTAAGGGACTTTTGCAGAGTTTTCTAAAAATACCGAGGGTGGCGGTTTCAGCCCCCTAACTCTCGCCCTCCGTGTCACACACCTGGGTCTAATCAGCGGGTCCAAGTGGCTCTGCTGTGCCTCTCGTCACCAGTGACTCTGCGTTGCATTCAGTGCTCAGGAGTCCAGGCGCGGGCTGGAGAATAATCCGCTGTCTTCGCACAGAAGGGACATCGCAGCCACCAGTGCCGGTCAGGACACCACCATCCTGTGCAGCCAGCGAGGGGCCCTCTTTGTGACACACACTCTGTCCCCTCTTGCAGGAATGCGGTGGAGGAAGGCAAGGGGATTTTTCATAACATCAAAAACTTTGTCCGGTTTCAGCTGAGCACGTAAGTGGAGGCCGGCGTCTCTGAGGGCTGTCGGGGCTGCGTGTGCGTCCGGCGCGCAGCCGTCGACGGTGCCCCGCGTGTGCCCCGCAGGAGTATCTCGGCCCTGAGCCTCATCACTCTGTCCACCGTGTGCAAGCTGCCCAGCCCCCTCAACGCCATGCAGATCCTGTGGATCAACATCATCATGGACGGGCCGCCAGCGCAGAGGTGAGGCGCCCGGCTGCCGGCGAGGCTCTGCCCACCCCTGCATGGAGTAGGGGACGCTGCAGGGAAGACAGCCTGCGGGATGCCCTGGGAGGAGGCGCCTGCGTGGGGTGAGAGTGGGGGTGCTCCCTGGGTCCCTGCATGGCTCAGGCCCTCTCTTCACGTCACCATCTCTGAGATGTCCTCCGTGTTTACTCCAACAGCAGCCTCCTGGCTCTCACTCAAAGTCTCCTTTTGACCCTGCTTTATTTTTCCCTGGAGAAAAAAATACACACATACGTCCTTGTTTATCTGGTTATGACCCCTCTCTCCCGTGTGCCAAGGTTTGGGGTTTGTTCCCTGAAGCGTCCCCAGCTCCTAAAAGGGTGCTTGGCACACAGTAGGTGGTCAGCGAGTCATTTGCTGGGTGGATGGATGAGACCGGAGTGGTAGGGGAGCTGAATGGTGCACGAGAGAGGGTCCCCTTTGGGGGCAGGGAGACAGATGTCCATGAGCAAGCAGGGTGCTGTGTGAGCACACGGTACATGCTGTTTATTGTACAGGTGATATATATATTATATATCACATACCACCCACATATAACACACATGTATGTGTGCGATACGTATTATATACATTACAATTATTCAACCGTCACAATTATAGCTGCTGAGGGCCCGGGTCCCACTTTGTCCCTCCACGCCCAGTGGGAGGGTCCCTCGTCACATGCCGGGCACAGGCCAGGAGTGAAGGGGTGTGTAGCCCGCTTACTCCGTGCCCCGCGCCCCGTCTTCTGCTGGTCTACCCCGGTCCCGCTGTTTCACAGTCAGCTGATGGCGGGGGTCCCTCAGTGGATGGGGGAGCCCTGTGGTGGGCAGAGTTTCTCCAGCCCTCTGGGCGCCCCCTGGTGATGGAAACTGCGTGATCGTGAGGGGTGCCAGGACCGCCGTGTGGGCGGCTCGGGGTGGTTTTCCTCCGCCAAGCTCAGGGACGGGTGGATGGCTGCCCCTGGGACCCAGGCTCGTGGCGGGAGGGTGGGGGGGGGCAGAGGATGTGAGGGGCGGGCTTCCGGCAAGGACAGGGAGGTCCCCGTAGGAGTGGGGCCAGCCCAGGCTCCTGGCGACAGCCCGGGGGCACGTGGCCAAAGCCCCCTCCTCGCTGTGTCTGGTTTCCTAAAATGACCTTTCCCAGTGGTTGACGTCAAGGTCCCTTGTCCTGTCCAAGCAGCTTGGGGGTGGAGCCGGTTGACGACGACGCGCTCCGCCAGCCACCGCGGAACATCAAGGACACCATCCTCAGCAGAGCCCTGGTCCTGAAAACCCTGCTGTCGGCCGCTGTCATCATCAGCGGGACCCTCTTCATCTTCTGGAAAGAGGTGAGCCGAGTCCTCACTGCCTCACGCGGCCGGTATTTGCTGAGCCCTGTGGTGGGAGCCTCGCAGCTGGCTGTGCGCCAAGCACGGAGGACACTCCTCGCCCACCCCCCGGGTGCATGGGGCTCCGGCTCTGACCAGGGACACACGTGCACGGGGGGGGGGGGGGGGCTGTCGCTGAAGGGAAGGGGGAGAAGGTGGAAGAACAGGCCCCCCGGCAGGGAAAAGAAACCCGAGGTCCCTGACACTTTCCATCGTCACCAGGAAACAATTGCAATCTGTTAAAAGGAAGTCCCGTCTTGTTCCCTGGAGGTGATTATTTGAGGGACCTTACGGGTCACCCTGTGGTGGCTCAGGTGGCCCCCGTGCCGCACGCTGTGCTCGCGGTGGAGAACCAGGCACGGCCAAGTGCGGGAAGCGGGGACAGGACACGGGACCCCTGCACATCTCAGTTTCTCTCCAGCCCTGCCTCCCCCCCGAAGGAGCGGCTTTGCTTTCCCCAAATTGGCACCTGCGTTATGAAGGGACCTTCTCTTTACCTGTGCAGGGTTCAGGTGGGGGCAGGGGGGCAGCTCGGAGTCCTGAGTTCGTGGGTCCGGGACACTCCCCCGTTACTCCAGCTGCCCCCAGCCTGGGGGTCGGTTCCTGGTGGAGCCGCTGTCTGCTGGGTGGCCCGGGCCCGCCCACCCTGTGCCTCCGTCTTCCAGATCCCCGCCGACAAGGCGAGCACCCCGCGCACCACGACCATGACCTTCACCTGCTTCGTGTTCTTCGACCTCTTCAACGCCTTGACCTGCCGCTCCCAGGTGAGCCCCGGGCTGCCCTCCGCTCCCTTCCCGGCAGGACTCGGCCACTAACGCCGCAGCCCGGGTGGGCGTCCGTAAGCGTCGCCAGCTGTGCTGTGGCCTGTGACCCGGCCGACACGCGCCCTTCTCCCTGCACAGACCAAGCTGATATTTGAGATCGGCTTCCTGCGGAACCCCATGTTCCTGTACTCGGTGCTGGGCTCCCTTCTGGGGCAGCTGGCCGTGATTTACATCCCGCCCCTGCAGAAGGTCTTCCAGACGGAGAACCTGGGTGCCCTCGGTGAGTGGGGGGGAAGGGGGACATGAGGGGCAACAGAGGCGGACGTGCAGGTTCACAGATGCAAAGTCCCTAAGTGTGCCCGGCCAGCCGCCCTGATGGGGGCGTGGAGCACACGGGGAACCAGAGGACGAGGCACCTCCACCAGGAAGGCCACCAAGGGCCTCCCGGTCCCCCTGTCCCAGGTCTGGCAGCTCCGAGCCCCCACAGCACGTACGGCATGGCCCGGGGGCTGCGCCACAGTGGGCGACAGTCTGGGCTCACTCTGCCCCCGCTGGCAGGGGTCTAGTGGGTCTTGGTGACTCACTGACCTCAAGACAGGGAGCAGCCACCCAGCAGCTCTTGCTAAAAAAGTGAATTAACGACCGCGGCTGTCCGGGGCCCTGAGCCCGCCTGCCCTGGTATAGAATCCTGGGGCGCCCCCCCCCCAGATCCAGCCTCTTCCATGTGACCTGCCCGGTACCCTGGCCACCTCTGCCCGACGCTGAGATGACAGCACAAGTGGGAGGGGGGGAGGGGACAGGGCACCTGAGCAGCAGCACTGACCGGGGCCACTTGCGGGGCGGGGAGGCCCGGGTACGTCCACAGGTCGTAACACGGGCCAGTTGGAGGTGGTGGGCACAGTGCTCAGAGCCCCGAAGGTGGGGGGGGGGGAGGGTCCACCCTCAGGCAGATGGGGTGAGGGTCCTGTTACAGCTGGAGGCGGTCACGCACCCCCACCCCTGCCCTGAGCCACCTGGAGAGCTGCAGGGGCAACTGCCCCTCCCGGGAGGGGAAGGTCCGCTCCACCCCCCTCACCCCTGGGTTCTCTCTGACTAAAGACAAGACATAAGGAAGGGAGCTCGGGGTGGGGGGGGGGACATCCCATGCTCTGACCCCCATTTTCTTCTCACCTTTTTGCAGATTTGTTGCTTTTAACCGGACTGGCTTCCTCCGTGTTCGTTTTCTCAGAGCTCCTCAAGCTTTGCGAAAAGTTCTGCTCCAGAGCCGGCAACGCCCAGACTCGCCGGGAAGATGTATAGCGGCCCTGCCTGCGCAAAATCCCCGAAGAATCTCTATTTTTATGTGAAGCTGGGCCTCCCCCAGCCCCCCTTCCGAGGGATGCTCTTAGGACACCGCTAGGGCCGGTTAGGTCCCTCACTTCATCCGCCTCTTGGGAAGCCAGCAGGGGGCCGAGGGGGGGGCCACACAGAAACACTCGCTATTTATTAAATCACAGTGATTTTTATTCTCCGTGTCTGCCTGCATGTTTGTGCCCCCGGCAGCCCCGGCCCGAGGAGGATCCAGGGTCCCAGCGCAGGGCCAGCGCCTCTGCTCCCTGTGAAGGGGGGGCGTGGAGCCGTTTTGTTAAGGGCTCTGCCAGCATCGGCTGTTTGTCCTACAGGTGGGGGGGGCGGGGGGGGGGTAGGGTTAACCCTAACCCACACCCACACAGCCTTTCGTCTACAACCCACCGCATCTGGGGCGAGAAACAGGCCCCGATGGCCTCAGTGAAGGGCTCCTCGGGACCCAGGGTGCTTCCCAGCTGCCTGAGCACGAACCCAGGGCTGTTCGTACAACAGACCTGCCCCCCCCCCAGTTATCAGCCTTTTCCAGAAAAACCCAACCAACGGGCGGGGGGTGGGGGGCAGAGACTTGTTTTATGAAACTGACTCACGCGAGTGTCAGGCCGGCCCATCCCCCGTGTTCGGGGCAGGCGGAGTCTCCGTGCGGCTCCAGGCAGAGACAGGGTTCCCTCCCCCAGGACCCCCGGCCCTTCTCTCGGGCCTGTGAGGGACTGGATGCCGCTCACTCACCCCCCAAAGGCAACCTGCCGTCTTCAGAGTCTCCCCACGTGCGTGTCCCTCGCGCCTGGAAAACATTTCACGGGAACATCTAGACTGGTGTTTGACCAGCCGGGCCCCGCGGCCTGGCCAGACGGACACGCGGAAGTAACTCCGACACCAGCCCCGGCGACAGTGAGACCAGCAGCCTGGGCCAGACCAGGGTGAGGGCGGGCCGAGCAGACCCCGGAAGCTCGCAGCAGAGATCCTGTTCACTGGAAGTAGGATTTACGGCCTGGGGTCGCTGTTGTCCTCTGCGGCCCCCACAAGTGACAGCAGAGGTAAACGAGGGCATGCACACGTGCCGGGCCTGCAGAAACGTGACCGAGAGGGCTGCCTGGAGGAGGCGGCCATTCAGGCAGGGATGGTACCGGCCCAGCAGCTGCCAACCCTTGATCACCCCTCGGAGGGACAGGCCGAATCCTGCCCCGCGCACAGTGGGGATGCTTCCAAGCAATGTGCTTCCCCGTGAAAAATAAGAACCACCACGGCTGACCGATACTTACACTCCAACATCACAAAGTACCCCTATTTCTACCATACACAATAGCCTGAGGTACGTTGTAAATTAAGAGAGAAAATAATAATGCGTCTGGAACTTAAAACAAGACACAACACTAACCATAAAGTATAATCAATAAGACTACACGCAAATGTTACCCTTCTTTTCATCAAAATACAAGACTTAGCTGGATTTCCCCTTGTGAAAATAAAATAAGGGACATTCACCAAATAAAAAGAGGAAAGAGCAGAGATCAGCGATGTCAAAGACACAGGTAAAAGTCAAGTGCTAGTTTTTGAAAATACCAATAAAATTGCCAGTCCCGCTAAAGGTTTATCCAAGGGAAAGAGACCCAATGACCATGGTTAGGAATGGAGGTGGCCTCTCACTAAAGTCCCCTGCAGATATTCGACAATAAGGTAAGACCAAGAATTTGACGCACGTGAATTCACAAGTTAAAGGAAATGAACCAATTCCTTGAACACCACAAGCTACTAAAACTCACTGGAAACGCAGTAATCCGAGTAATCCTAGAACTCATAAGGACAGTGAGGTAGTTAAAACCGAACGCCAATCAAAGAAATCTTGTGGCTTTTGACACCAATCCAGAAGCAAGTTAATGAAGATGGTCATTCACCTAATGGTATTGGGACAGACAGACAGACATCTGCGGCTGAGAGTGCACCACCCTCCACTCAGACCTCAAACCTGCCACACAGATGAACTCAAAATGAGCCACAGAGCAAAGCACAGAAAAATCGGGGCGGGGAGGACCTTTGGGATCTGGGGTTAGGTAGAATTCTTAGGAGCCCACAGGACTACCCTCAAAAGAGAAGAAAAATTGAGAAAATGCCCTGTAGGGGATTTACTGGATCCTATGGCAGTTCCATTTTTAACTTTCTGAGGAACCAAACAAAAACACTAATTCAAAAAGATATATTCAGCCTTGGGTTTGCTGAAGCATTATTTACAATAGTCAAGATACGGAAGCAGCCCAGATGGCCATCTCATGAGATGAATGGATAAACATGTGGTATACACACACACACACACACACACACACACACACAAAATGGAATAGTATTCAGCCATAAAAAGAATGAAATCTTGGGGTGCCTGGGTGGCTTAGTCGGTTGAGCATCTGACTTTCGCTTAGGTCATGATCTCGCAGTTTGTGGGTTTGGGCCCCGTGTCGGGCTCTGCACTGACTGCCAGCTCAGAGCCTGGAGCCTGTTTCAGAGTCTGTGGCTCCCTCTCTCTCTGACCCTCCCCTGCTCACGCTGTCTCTCTCTCTCCTAGAAATAAATAAAACATTAAAAAAAAAAAAAGAATGAAATCTTGCCGTTTGCAGCAACATGGATAAACACTTAGTAAAATAAGTCGGAGAAAGACAAATTCTGTATGATGTCGCTCCTAAGTGCAATCGAAAACAAACAAACAAATGCACAAAGAAACAAAGAGACAACCCAAAAATCAGGCTCTTAACCCTAAGAGAACAAACTGACATTATCGGAGGGGAGGAGGGGGTAGAGTGGGTGAACTAGGTGAAGGGGATTATGGGTAAGGACTTACCATGAGGCGCTCTGGGTGATGTGCAGAAGTGTTGAGTCACTGTATTCTACACCTGAAACTAGAATCACACTGCAATCCAACTATACTGGAATTAAAAAAAATTTAAGTACAGACTATAAAGAGCACTGAGAAATATAAAGAATTGTTGGCTCATTGTATTGTACTGCTGCAACTAATTTACGGTGTAAATTATGCTTGAATAAAAAATAAAAGTTCTTTTAATCCAGGAAAAATAATTAACAGAATTCCACCAAAAAGGAGAGCATTTTGCCCATGAAAATCTCTCTTTAAGAGAATTAAAAAAATTTTTTTAAACATTTTATTTATTTCTGAGAGAGAGAGAGAGAGACAGTGTGAGCAGGGGAGGGTCAGAGAGAGAGGGAGACACAGAATCTGAAGCAGCTCCAGGCTCTGAGCTGTCAGCACANAGAGAGGGAGACACAGAATCTGAAGCAGCTCCAGGCTCTGAGCTGTCAGCACAGAGCCCGACACGGGGCTTGAACCCACAAACTGAGATCATGACCTGAGCTGAAGTCAGATGCTTACCAGACTGAGCCACCCAAGCGCCTCAAGAATTTTTCTTATAAAGACTGGAAAATAAATATTTTCACATCACATACCCAACAGTCAACTTTGATCCAAGATTTTTTTAAAAAAAAAACTTAAAATTTGGGGCACCTGGGTGGCTCAGTTGGTTAAGCCTCTGACTTCAGCTCAGGTCATGATCTCACGGTTCGTGGGTTCGAGCCCCGCGTCGGGCTCTGTGCTGACAGCTCAGAGCCTGGATCCTGCTTCAGATTCTGTGTCTCCCTCTCTCTCTGATCCTCCCTTGCTCATGCTGTCTCTAGCTCTCTCTCAAAAATAAGTAAAACATTTTTTAAAAAATAAAATAAATTTAAAAAAATAAAAATAAGAAAACTTAAAATTTAACAATTAACAAAATAGAATAGAAATAGGGCAAAAGTCTTGAGCTGAGCCTTCTCCGAAGAGGACATACCGAGAGCAAACACACGAAGAGACGTCCAGCCCAAGTCCACGACGAGATCCGCTACACACCTCTCCGAATGGCTGACAACACGCCCGGGACACGGCTGGCGACGCGGGAGGGCAGGTGCACGGAGGCGTCGCAGGGTGGGGGAGGCGCGCCACAGCCGCCCGTGGAGAACAGGCTGACAGCGTCCCGTCGGGTTAGACACACACTCAGCACGTGACCCGGCAGCGCCGCTCCTCGGCCCGGACCCTCGTGCCCACGGTGTGCCCTGAAGGCTCACAGCCCCACTCGGAGGAGCCGCATCTTAGAGCCACCCACCCCTTCTACCGATGAACAGCCCCCCCACGGGACAGGGCTAAGGAGCGCCCACATCGCGTCCTGGGTGGGTCCCCTGGTACCACACAGAGAGAAACGAGTCTTACTGGTTCCGTACCGTAGGGTTCCATTTACCTAACATCCTCGAGGTGACAGGGTGACAGGGCGACGGAGAGTGGGTGAGAGGCTGCCAGGCGTCAGTGTTGGGAGGCCGGGACTATTAGAGGCGGAGCAGGGGGGAGCTCGGGGGGCAGTGGGGCGGTTCTGGATCCCGATGGCAGGGACTGTCACGTGCATCTACACGAGATCAAGTTTCTCAGGACGGCTGTCGGGGGACCCCAAGACCCGCCTCAGGCTCAGATGACCAGAAACTGTTCTTGGGACATTTCCGGATTCCACCCTGCGGCGGGCGGGGAGGGGACGTATCTCTTTCCCTGTAACAAGCCCAACAGGTTTCAGGGAATTCTGTGTCTTCAGCGAAAGGTCCAGCCTGAGGGTGGCACAGGGAGCCCTCTGACCAGCAGCGGGCGTCAGAAGGCTGGGGCCGAGTTTGCCATCTGGAAGCCGGTGCCCTCAGCCGTAGGTTTGCCTAAAAGCAGGTGCGTTCAAACAAGGTCTATGCGTAGCTGAGAGTATCGTAACAAGGCCAGTGTCCTGGCAGCGAGACTGACCCTGCTACAATCAGGGAAGACACTTTCATTAGGGGACGCTGGGTGATCCGTACCCAGGAACTCGCGGTACTAGTTTTGCAACCTCTAGATCGCTCCAAATTATTTCAAAATAAAGTTTATGAGGAAAAAAACCCTCAAAAATATTGAGCTAAAATATACCAGGCGAATTCCAAATAACACACACGGTGGGGTGACACGATTAACGTCAGACAAGATTAACATGGGGGCCACAAGCATTAGGTAAGCCCAGGAAGGGAATTAAATGAGCTGTATTCACCACTGAAAATCCATCGGGGCTGGGCACACACCAACACAACATCCAAATTCTCAGAGCACCGTACGGGTAACGCACAGGAAATTCATTCGGAGACTCTACCTGGCCACAGGTAAGGGCACAGCTCAATCCTCAATTATTTCCAAGTAGACAGAAGATAGGTGACCTCTCTAATTATTATTTGTTACAACTAAAAACAAACAATGCCATTCGTAGGAAAATTCTCCAGCATACAAACGTTTTAGTGGTTTTTGTTGTTGTTGTTTTTTTTTCTGAGAGAGAGAGAAGGTGTGAGCATGTGAGGGTCAGAGAGAGAGGGAGACACAGGATCTGAAGCAGCTCCAGGCTCCAAGCTGTCAGCACAGAGCCCGACGCGGGGCTCAAACCCATGAACCGTGAGATCATGACCTGAGCTGAAGTCAGACGCTTAACCGACTGAGTCCCCCGGGCGCCCCTGAAAGTTTTAAAACTCTTGGCCCCAAGGGGGAAAATCTGAATAAGGGGGCACCTGGGAGGCTCAGTCAGTGAAGCCTCTGACTTCAGCTCAGGTCATGATCTCGCGGTCTGAGAGTTCGACCCCACGTCGGGCTCTGTGCTGACAGCTGGGAGCCTGGAGCTGCTTCGGATCCTGTGTCTCTCTCGCTCTCTGCCCCTCCCCCGCTTGCGTGCACCCATGCACACCTTCTCTCTCAAAAAGAGATGAAGACTAAAAAACAAAAAAGAGATCAATCTGAGTAAGAACGGCAGAAAATCTAGAAGCCAACCACAGAGAACACGCCTATCAGAGTCTACACGGTATGGCCAAAAAGGCGGAGCTCAAGGAGAAAAGGGATACCTCTATATAAGCATTTACTTTCATTCTTTTTTATTTAGTAACTTAACAATCGACTCAAATTTGAAAGTGAAATGAACAGCAGAAGGAGATACTATAAAAGCAAAGTTACTTGAAAAGAAAAACAGAACTGGTACAACATCATGTAGGAAAAACAGAAGTAAAACGCCACAACTCAAAAGATCTCACGTATTCTGGTCAACCCTACGTAAATTACCTTGAAAACGTACATCAAATGAAAAACTTACCAGGAAATTAAAAATCATCAGAATGAACCCCAGCAGAGATGTGAGATCACCCAGATGATAAGAGAAATGATGAGGTTATCAAGAGCTCACCCCTCCGCGCCCACCACCCCTTAAATCCCCCCGTGAATTTGACTCAACCTTTAAGGAAACGCCTTCATTGCTTTTTCTAGAGCCTGCAAAACAGGAAAGTTCTAAATTATTTTTGTAAGGCCAGCGCAACTTTACAACTAAAGTATGACTTACATAATATCAGACCCAAACAAAAATACAGACTAACCGTTTAGGGGTTTTTTTTTTTTTTTCATTTTTTTTAATGTTTATTTTTGAGAGAGAGCGCGCAAGGGAGGGGAGGGGCAGAGAGAGAGGGAGACACAGAATCTGAAACAGGCTCCAGGTTCTGAGCTGCCAGCGCAGAACCCGACGCAGGGCTCGAACCCACAAACACAAACCGTGAGATCATGACCTGAGCCGAAGTCGGGCGCTTAACCGACTGAGCCACCCAGGCGCCCCTCTCTCTGTCTCTCAAAACTGAATAAACGTTAACAAAAATAAAATAAAATTAGAAAAGAAAAAGCATCTGAAAATCCAGCACCCAGCTTAATGGTCAAAGACCAGATGCATTTCCATTAAGGTCGGGAATGGACTGAAGTCATGAAGGGCGTGGCACTGCTGCGGAAGTTCTCAAAGTATCTGCTGATACAATCAAGAAAGAGAATTAAAGGCCTAGAAATTGCAACAAGTAGGGAAGTCACCCTCATTTCCAAGCACGCGGCAGTCAGCATGCTTACGTACGTCTCAAACTTGCATGGGGTCACGTATCAGAGCTCAGTAAGGCTGAGAGGAAAAGAAGAAATCACAGGAGCCAAAACACTAAGTTTGGGGATTCATTAGAAAGATCCACTCTCAGGTCCCTCCTCAGCCCTGCCATCTGCCCCTCAGGAGGCCTTCCAGAAAATTCCAAGACCCAAGGTAGAAAACCCCCAGACCAAAGAATTCAGCAAGGTAGCTGGGATAGAAAACTAGGTAGAAACATCGAGAGCTTTCCCAGGTTCCAACAATCCTCAGGAGACAAAAAATCCACGTCCCATGCCTGCACAAACAACAAAATCCACACGGGAAACTTGCCCTCCTTGGGGACAGGAGGGATCCACACCCGCCAGGTATCAGCCCTGCCTGCGCTAATCTGCATTTGATGAGCTCTCCAAAACGCAACCATCAAACTTCGTACAAGGGTACCAGAGGTCAGAGAAAATAAACGGGCAAGCGCAGGAGGAAAATTCCATAAAAAAGAGAAGTCATCGGGGAAGAGCTCTTGCACCTTTTTATCATAAAACACCACGACTTAAAAACATGAGGCAGAAACGGAAGTTCAGAGAGACATTCAGGTGATGAGAACGTAGTACTTCTAAGTCAGTGGGAAAGAAACATAACATTTCATATAAAAGATGCTGGAATTTATTCTGGAACAAGATAGAGGTACATTTTAAAATACATTTTGAAGAGGCGCCTGGGGGGCTCAGTCAGTTAAGCGTCTCACTTCGGCTCGGGTCATGATCTTGCAGTTTGTGAGTTTGACCCCCTTGTCAGGCTCTGTACTGACAGCTCGGAGCCTGGAGCTGCTTCGGATTCTGTGTCTCCCTCTCTCTCTGCTCCTCCCCCACTTGCATTCTGTCTCACATTAAAAATATTTTTAAATAAACAGAATACATTTTGAATCGATCGAAAATTTAGAAGGAAAAATGCAAAGCGGAGGGGCAGCGGCAGAACAGGGGTTTTTTTCTTAATCACAGAGCGGGGCAAAACACTTTCGAAGCAAACTACAAATCTCAGAAGCCTTAAGGGGAAATGCTGATAAATAGGACCAAATGCAAAATTTACGTATAGAAAAATAAACTACGTCCAACAAACTGGAAAAAAATACTTAGCCTTCAAGTCAAAAGGTATTTTGCTTCACTCAAAAAAGTGCTCTTGCAAATCAGTAAGAAAACTGAAACCCTTGGAAGCCAGAAGGTCAGGGCGCCGACGGCTTTTGAAAACTAAAGCCGAGACTAAAGCCGGGTCCACGAAAACTAAGTGTTAACACGGTGTCCGTGCAAACGCAGCCAACGGGCGTCCCCGCGCGGCGGGGCTATCAGACCTCAAAAGAGGTTTGCTCGTCTGTCAGGGTCGAAATTAAGAAGCGTCTCTTGGGCCAACAATCCAACTTCTAAGAGTTTCTTCTCCCAGACAAACATCACACAGAGACACACGTACAGGAGATTCGCTCCAGCAGCGACGAGCGACAGACCCGAGGGTCCCCAGCCCGCGGGCGCGACGCCAGGAACGATGGAGTTCGGTACCGCGGGGCGTTGCGTCCAGGGAAAGCAAAGAGGGAGGCAGGTGTGGATACTGAGCCACCTCCACCAAAAAAAAAAAAAAAAAAAAGAGCGGGGGACACGCCATCGTGGAAAACACAATCAGGCTGGGTGTGCAAGGAGTCCCCTCTGGCCGGAGAGCTCCCGAGGGGCCTTGCCTGTCGGGGCGGGAGACAGCTCTGCGAGTTACCTTTCGAGTTACGGCCTGCGTATTTCAACCTCCTTTCACCACGGCCACAAACGGTCTTTTTTTTAAATAAAGGAAACGTGGTGGGGAATAAAAAAAGTGACAATCGCCACAGAGGCACCGGGGACTACATTCTCTCGCCTCCTTCGAGCACCTTCCGGGGCCCTGACTGGTCTTCAGTCGCGGCGAAACCGTGGGTCTCGAATTCTTATTTCTGCTGCACAAAAGAACAAACTCTGGTTTGTTGAAACCAGAAGCACCTGCGTCCCAGGCCCGGCGGGGGCTGGGGGGGGTGGGGGGGTGGGGAGGGCAGGTCCGTGCACGGAGAGCCTCGCCCGAGAGCCGCACCGGGAGCATGAACCCCCCAGGCTGCCGAGCGCCCAGAGGCGCCTGCCTTTCCTTTTCCGCCTGCCGTCCTGGGAAGCAGACCCCGGGCCGTGATCGGAATTGTGATGAGAACAAGCACAAGGCGGAAAGTGTGCCCACAAGGTCGGGCCCTCTCTGACTCTCTGACAGCCATAAACAGAGGCAGCGGTGACAGTATTTACGGTACAGATGCCAACAGACCTGTGATGAGGTACTTATTTACATTAAAATAACATTTATTTTATTTTTTTTTAATGTTTTTTATTTTATTTATTTCTAGGAGAGAGAGAGAGACAGCGTGAGCAGGGGAGGGTCAGAGAGAGAGGGAGTCACAGACTGAAACAGGCTCCAGGCTCTGAGCTGGCAGTCAGCACAGAGCCCGACGCGGGGCTCGAACCCACGAACCGCGAGATCATGACCCAAGCGAAAGTCGGAGGCTTAACCGACTAAGCCACCCAGGCGCCCCTAAAAGCTGGCTTTTTTGAGGAGAACCAGTCGTGACTAAGTCTGCGTCAGGCCGCTGCCCCTCCGCGTACTGGCTGAGCACACGCTTTGCGTCCGGAAGCGTGTTTGCACGGCCTTCCGCTCGGTCAGGGCAACTGCTGAGTGCAAAGTCTGAGAAGTCTCCTGGCAGAAAGAGCAGAGGCTGAAAAATACCAAAGGCTCAGGTGACTATATGGCTTAGAATCAGACGATTTTGGTTATAAGAGGTCACATTCTTCATCAAATGTGCAGAAGGTGACCATCGACAGCGAAAGAGAAGGGGAGGAGGTATGTGTTCTGGAGATGAGGCCGCGGCTCTTCAAGGAAGGACTTGTCAGCCATGCGGCTACATTCCTCAGTCCCGTCCCAGACGCCCCCCTGGACCACGGTTAGCAGCTGGGGTCACTCGAGTCGGTTCAAAGTGAGTCCCTGCTATCGGACGGCCCGTCACCACCTTGGCGGCCGCCCTGAGCCAGAGCGCGACACCGAGGATGAGGTGCCAGGGTCGGGAACCCAGATCAGTTCTGTCCAGTGAGTGACTCACCACCAGTTTATTGGAAGGGACACGTCGGGGCCCCCACCGCCCCACGTTTACATTGTAACAGAACGACGGCTTCACAGCGATCACGGCACAGGTGGGAGGGCGGCGTGGAACCTTAGGACCAACTACTGAGGACCCACCTCACCGCGACCCCCAGCTCTTCCCCCCGTTAGTACAGGATTTGTGCTCTTTTATAAACAGAAATCTCACGTCACGGGGAGCTGCTCCCCAAAAGCGTTGAGACCCGCAGCCCAATGCCTCTGCCCTTTCCCGGCTGGAATGGAACCTTGAGGCACGGTCTCAAGCGCAGCGGCCGGAGAGCAGAGGCAGGGTGACCCCAGCACGGGGGCCTGTCCTGCACGGCGGGGAGGCACGTGCCCGTCGGACGCTCACTCTGGCGGAGGCCTCGGCGTCTGGGGCTTCGGATCTCGACAGGAAAGGAACGGAACAGAGGATCACGTTGCTAACAGACTCAGGATTTCCGGGAGACGCAGCAACCAGTCAGTATAGGACATCAGAGAACTTTACTGAGTTCCGATTAAGCACGGCTCGGTGCCGAAGTCGAACACGTGCGAGATGGGGAGGGGTCTGCAGGCTGTGCTCCGTCCGGCGGGTCGGGATCCAGCCTGGGGCCCCCCTCACTCATCCTCCGGGGGCTCCCGGAGCCCGTGGCTGTGGCGAGTGTGCCCGCTGATCTCGAGCAGGGCCTGGGCCTCGGGGTCCGCGTCCAGGACGCTCTTGCTGCTCTTGGCCTTGGGAAGAAGGGAAGGGAGCTGAGCGTCTCCCGGACAGCCAGGGACAAGCAGCAGAGTCCTCCTGGCTTCAAGCTCGCGACAGGAGGGTCAGTATCCTACCACTGCCGTGCAGAGAACACGGAGGGGCTCCGGCGCCCTCACCGAGCTGCCCCCCACCCCAGGATGCCGCCGTTGGGGGGTCGCGAGGTGCAGAGGGCCCAAGAACGGCTCACCGCAGGACCGCGGAACTAGAAGGAACCCGACCCTCCTCATCTCGCAGACGGGCCGCCCCCCGCCCGGGGCCCCACCTGGGGCAGGGCCCTGATTCCAGGGCTGGTTCCCTTTACCAAACCGCATGGGGCCGACAGGGCGCCCAGCCCTGCCCTCCGCCCAGCAGCAGCCGCCGGGACCGGGACAAAGGGCCTCCGGACGTAGGCGTACAGGGGTAGCTCGCGGAGGGCGCAGAGACGGCCGCGCTCACCTGCTCCCAGTCCGGGGCGTCGCCCACGGCCCACACCTCCAGCTTCTCAAACCGGAAGTCCTCCTGGGCGGACAGCTGGGGGCTGTTGTACGTGGTGCACTTGGGCTTGGCCTTGCTGTGTCCCTTCCCGAAATCGACATCAATCCACAGCCCAAAGTAATTGTGCTGCCCCCCCATGCCCTGTGGGGGAGGGGGAGGGGGAGTGTCAGCACTTCCTCCATCAGGGACACACACACACACACCCCGCCCCCGCCCCCCCCCCACACGCACCAGCCTCAAGCCCCAGACTGAGACAAGGCGGGTAAGAGGTGGATGCCATTTTCTTCCACCTTTTTTTTTTAAGTGCAAAACGCACAGAGCACCGCAACTTAAGCGTCCGTCATCCCGTCACAAGCGGCTGACAGTCATCGCGGCGCCTCCTCCTGGGGCCACGCTGGCTGGGGACACAGGTGACAGCAGAGCACACAAAACTGAGGCCACGGCTCTGAGACCCCCGACCATGAAAGGACGAGGGGAGAACCTGCGTCTGGGCCCCCGGCAGCTGCCCGGCTCGCTCAGGGCGCTGCGTGTCACCTACTGGGTGCGGAGACCGCGGGACCAGAAACAGGAAGCAGACCCAGGGGCGACGCCCGCCAGTCCTCTCCACCCCCCACACAGGGTCATGCTCAGCTAGAGGCCGGGAGACAGAACGGCCCGCCAGCCTCCCGCTGTCCTTCCCCGCTGCCCCCCACCTCCGCCCTCTGGGGCCCCTGGTGGGCCAGGGACTGGAGCCGAGCGAGACTCCAGAGCAAGAGATGCCGACTCTCAGGGCTGCTCCTCTCTCGGCTGATTACTGGCAATTCCTGAGGACCTACTGGGTGCTGCTGCGGAGACCACCCAACTGCCCTTTCCAGAAGGCGTCCAGGGTCCTCAGGAGGCCCCGCGGGGGGCCTGCAGCAGCCTGGGAAGGGGCACCGGGGCCTCTCCCTCCTGACCAGGTGGGGCAGCCTTCCCAGAGCCAGAGTTTCCCGAAAGGTGCTTTGTGTTAAGAAGCAGAGAAAAGAAACAGGCCAGGGAACTGGCAGGAGACCCATCTGCCACCCACACCAAGCTGGTGGGGGCCCATTCATGGGCCCCCGTCCCCCCTCCCCCGCTCCCTGGCCTTCACCCCCTCCTCTTCCTCCACCAGCGGAGCCTCGGGCTGCAGCAGGGAGCAGATGGGAGGTGTGCTCACCCCGACGAGCCTCACGCTTTGGTGAGTCGCCCACTGACCACTCGCGATGGGTCCTGGGAGCCCAGGTCTGGGCGTGCCCCTCCCCCAGCTCACCTCCGGCCACAAAGGTCACAGGCCAGCAGGGAAACCGGCCACCTCCCGACCTCGCAGGAGAGAACATGGTCCCAGCTGTCACTCACGGAGCACGGCGCCCCGGGCAGGATGCGCGCAGCCCACGCACGGAACCCAGGGGGCGTGCGGCTCCTCTGGCTTGTGGGGAAAGCGGCCCCCCAGCTGTCGGCACTGACCCCGCTGCGGAAGGACGTCACTGAGGCGGGACGGCCCGGCTCCCCTCTTACCAGGCCGTTGGGGATGGTCTGCTGCCCGTGATTCAGGTACATGTAGTGGTTGTTGTAGCCCGTGGAGGTGTACACGGCCATGCGGGGGGAGGTGGAGAACAGGAAGCACGTGTCATCCCCTGAAAGTGACCAGAGTGGGGACAAGCAGGGTCACCGATGTGAGCGGGGCACAGCTCGCAAGTCTGCGCACGGTCCTGCGTGCCCGGGGCCCACCGCACACCGCGACTGGGGCCGCCACGGTCAGTGGGCAGGTCCCAGACCCCGCAGAGGCCGGGCAGCCAGTGGTGAGCTCGGGGGGGCGGGGTAGAGCGTGCCTGCTGCTCGCTGGGGACAGCGACCAGCTCTCACTAGGGAGAAGGGGAGTCTGCCGCTGCTCGCCCACCGAGTGCTCTCAAGTCAAAAGAGCAGCCTCCTCTCCACGTCAGAGCCCTGGGCAGGAGGCCACAGCACAGCCCCCTCATGTGGGCACGTGACACTGTGTGACTCTGTCCCCAGCCCGAAGGAAGGCGTCCTCCAGGGAAAGAGAGAGCCTTCAGGTGCACAGCAGCCACCGGGGCACTTGCTGCCAGGAAGGGACCACGCAGGCAGGGGTGACCCTCTGGCTCCCCCCAGAGCACAAGTGCGGACATGTGTGCCCCTCAGGGAAGGTGCTGGCCAACACTCTGGTAGCGACCAGCATCCTACGCCCGGGGACTCCTTCGTGCTGTGGTTCCCCATCCACAAGCACGTCAGCACCAGGGACAGGGATGGTGGCCATGCCCCCAGGGGGACCACACAGGGTATGCTCCCCACAGTTGTGAGAAGGCAGTCCTAAGGGCTGGCTCCCCGGGGACCTTGTGAAGGGCCCCTGGCCACACTGCATGGTTTGTGAGCCCGGGGTCAGAGGACAAGGGAGAGGAGCCTGGGGCCACACGGCAGAGGGCTTCCCTCCGGGGAAAGACTCCGGCTTGGGTCCACGGGCTTAGGCAGCCCCGGGAGGCTGGGGTGCTTTCAGGCTGATGAACTGCCTGGTCCACACTGCTGTCCCCAGTGCCCATGTAAGTATCACTCTGTCCAGGATGCCAAAGCTGACTTTCCACCAACACTTCCTAGGATGTCCTGGGACGCCCACAATGTCCCAGACACTAAGTGAGGGGACGGGCCCGCAAAGTGCGGGTTGTCAGCTGCAGCGGGCCTCCCTCGAGGGCATCCAGGTCTGCTCTCGTGGGGGGCGGCCACATGGGGAGGGCCACGTGGGGGCTCTCTCCCTAGGATGCAGGGGTGAGGGCCCAGGGAGTCATCATCACCTGCATAACAGTCGAGCCACAGAGAAGGCTCATCTAACTCACACCAACACTAATGGACAGACAGCCGTGGTTCAGTACTGCCCACTGCCCATGGCATTCACAGGCTGCCTTTCCACGCAGCACCAGTTCACACAGTTCTGGGGAACCGAGGCCGGGGAAAGCGAGCCCGGTGCCCAGCACTCAGGAGACTGTCTGCTCAGCCCAAAGCCTGTCTGTCCACCGCACCCCAGAAACGTAAGCGAAACAGGAAGCGACTCCACGGCTAATACATCCCGTCAAGCCTGCGACACCAGGAGTTAGAGCAGCTTCCTGCGCTGAACTTGACCTGCATCTGGGACGCGAGGCTGCCCTCTGCTGGAATTCTGCCCTCACATCAATGCACAAAGCACCAGGGGACAGGCACGGTCAGGAGGCCGGAGAGAAGAGGCGCGCCTCCCACGGGCAGCATCAAGGGGCTCGAGAGAAGAGTAGCACGTCAGACATGCTGGGACACGACGAATGACTGGAGGGTGAGGTGGAAACCAGGGGGCCAATGAGGTCCTCACAGAGTGGCGTGGGTGGAAGGCGGGGGACAGAACACAAGATCTTCTGGTTCAGACACCCAGGCCCTGTCCCGAGAAGCACATGGCCTTTCCAGCCCCTGTGTCCCAGCTAAGGACCTGTTGGGGGCGGGTATTAACCACCCGGCTCCTAGGTGTGAGGACGGGGTGGCATCGGCTCTCCCAGAGCCTCCAGGAAAGGCGCCCCCTTTCACAGCCAAGGAGACCCTCCAGAGCCACACGCCGGGGCACACGCAGGGACATCATCACCTCTCAGTATGAGAGCAGCCCACTGCCCAAGATCCTTTAAGAACGTTCATCAGAGCACTTTTCTTTACGGAAGGGGAAGCATTTCCTTAAGAGACTGCAAAGCGAGGGCAGAAGGGAAAGAGAGAAGCAGGAACACAGACGCAGGGCACGGGGCCGGCTGTCCGGGAAGGGGGGCTGCCGGAGCCCCACCGCCCAGCCTCCCTGGGGCCCAGACGCAGCACAGTTTACTGACACCCGGCCACCGCCTCCCAGCCCGAATCCAGGGTCAGGATCCCAGTCCCACCTGCCTGCCTCTGCCGCCAGAATCACAGAAGAAACCCAGGGAGCACGAGACCACGTAAGGCAGCGTCTCCTGCCACCGTCCCCTGACCACGCCCACAACAGCCCGCGGAGGACACAGAGGAAAGCCTCGTGCCCTGGTCGGCTCCACGGTCCCCAGGCAGCAACCACGAGGCCGGAACTCTCAATGAGCAGCCACGGTTCTGGGGGCCGAGTCTCACCTTGAAATTGAGGCTTGACCTCCCAGGAGCAGGAGGCAAACCCTCCGAACATGTGGCCGTCGTGGTCCTCAAGCAGCAGCACGCAGGGACCCTGGTGGGTGACGCGCCCACAGAGCTGGGCAAAGCTGTGCCCGTGGAGCTCCGAGGAGAAGAGCAGGCGCCAGCGGTGCCGCCGCTCCCGGGGCAGCTGGGCGTTGACGTAGATGACCGACGGCACGTCCAGGAGGCTCTCGAACCCCCTCTCCTGGTCCACGTGACACTCAGGGACCAGGGTGGCCAGATCGAGGGGCGTGCACAGGAGGAGAAAGCCTCTGTGGACGACCACGCTCAGGAACGTGGCCACGTGGGGGGTCCGGAACACCCAGTCCTCGACCGCGGCTCGGTCATAGTCACAGTCCAGCTGCGGAGGCCCCGGAAGCTTCTCGGCGCCTGGGGGAGGGGGAGACACAATCCGTGGGGCCATCCCATCACCGGACATCCTCCACCCACCATCAGAGCGCCTGACATGAGGCTCATGAACAGAGCTGTGCCCTTAGTATAAAATGCATACCTTATTCTGAAGATACAAGGTATCAATCACGATTACGGTTAGTACAATAAAAGTCATTCCCCTGTTTCTTTTTACTCTTTTAATGCAGCTATTAGAATATTTAAAATTTATGGGGCGCCTGGGTGGCTCGGTCAGTTAAGCGTCTGACTTCAGCTCAGGTCATGATCTCACGGTTCGTGGGTTCGAGCCCTGCATCGGGCTCAGAGCCTGGAGCCTGTTCTGGATTCTGTGTCTCCCTCTCTCTCTGCTCCTCCCCTGCTCACACTGTCTGTGTGTCTCTCTCTCTCAGAAATAAAAACATTTTTAAAGATTTAGAATATTTAAAATTTCACATGTGGCTTTACGTTAGTGCCCGCATGACATTTTTGTTGGACAGCATTGATCTTGACAATGACATTTGAACTCGTCTTTTCTCCTTTGTAAGCTGCATTTCAGAGACCCAGGAGACAGCCAGGCCTCAGCCGTGGGCCCGGCCCCGAAGCCCTCAAGAAGACACACTGCTGATATTTTATACATATTGTTATTCTTCTGTCCAAGTCCCAAATTTCACCGCTTGAGTTTTGAAATGTGACCTACTTCCAAACTGCATTTTACAATCCAGCTTTATAATAAAATAATGCTTTAATAAAACAAGTCTACTTTGCAAAGGGATTCAACACAAGGTGGTTTTAAATCCCAAGTGAATTTGAACACACATGGTTTCTCGTCCAATGGGAGCGGAATAGGCATTATTCTCAAGCGCACCTGGCACATTTTCTGGAATAGTCCACATACAGGTTAGTGCACAAAGCATGCCTCAGCAAATCTGAAAGGGCTGGAATCATACCAACTATGTTCTTCAACCACAATAGAATGAAACCTACAAATCAGTAACAGGAGGTGAGTTGGGAAATCCACAGATATATGGAAACCAAATAATACATGTCTAAGCAAGCAAGAGACCAAAGAAGGAATCACGAGAGAAGTTAGCAAATACTGAAAGGAATGAACACACACACACCATGTACCAAAACTTATGGGATTCGGCTAACACAGCGCTTAGAGAGAAACGTATAGCCGTAAATGCCTCTATGGAAAAAAAAGAGAGATCTCAAATCAATAACCTAAACTTCAACCTTATGAAGCTAAAGAAAGTAGACCAAACTAAATCTGAAGCCACCAGAAAGAAAGACAAGACCAGGATGGAGAGAAAGGAAGGAAAAGACACACAGAGAAAACCAACTGTATCAAAAGCTGGCTCTCTAAAGCCATCTACCAAAAGCTGACCAACCTTCAGCTAGACGGATCGAAAAAATAAAAAGCCTCAAATGACTGCGATCAGTAATGAAAGTGGAGACATCACTATGGATCTTACAGAATAGGAGGAAATAGTAGAAACAATTACGTTAATTTCTGCAAGCTTATGAATTTCCCCAATGCCTCTGGTTATGGAATTGTAAATTTCGTTCCATTGTGGTTGAAGAACATAGTTTATAGGATTTCAATCCTTTTAAATGTATCGAGGCAGGTCTGACGGCCACCCAAGAAGACGACCCAGAACAGAGCCGGAGGACTCACGCTCACAGACTTCAAAACTTCACTACGAGGCTACAATAACTGAGACCACGTGGTATCAGGCTTTGCGCCACGGCCTCAGAGGGTGAGCGCACGGGCCACTTGCCTCGGAGTTCCATCTCAGAGAAGAGCTGGGCGGCCAGTGCCTGCACGCTGGGGGGGGGGCCCGGGCCTCTCTTCTGGGTCCAGCCTCTCAGCTCCTGTCTGTAGCTTAGCACGTGCACCACGGAGCCAACCAGATCCTCTGTGAACTGCAAGGCAACAGTTTTACCATTAGTAACATTTCTACCGCGACCCAATAGCTACGTCACCTCAGCACAGGGAAGGGCGTTTTATCTCTTCAGTGCTGACTAGGATGGACCACATGTAGGATGAGATGGCGCAACGGGTAGGTATTCATGCTCCGGGTCATCAAGGCCTCTGTCCAGGGTCCTGACCTTAAGGGGGTCCCCCGGGGGGGCCTCTCCATGTGCTTCCACCAGCTACGGGGCCATCCTGGTCCTGAGCCCCCACCGGAGGACACCAAGGCAGTGTGGGACAGCTGCAAAGGGCCATGTGGCCCCACTACCTGCTGGACTTCGCTCGCTTTCACGGGACCTTCTGTGGCAGAAATCATTTTCATGATCACAAGACTCTTCTCTTTGAAGCTCCCCTTGAGCAAGTGGGACATGGACGCCGTAAACTGCTCCTGGGAGACACTCTCGCTGGGCCCCTTCGCCTTCCCCGGCAGGTCGAGTCCCCGCATGCCGTCATACAGCCTTGTCACCATCTCCGGGGGAAGGGCTTCCCCTATGTGGCTCTGTCGGGGACAAATTGGAGAAAGGCTGGATGGGGCCAAGCTCAGTGTGGTGGGATCGCCTGGTAGACAAGGGCCAGGGACCAAGACCACCCACTGCTGCTCCCACCAGCACCCAACCTTGCTAACCCCACGTGGGCCCTCTCTCCCCCACCCCAGGGCATCACACCCCCCCACTAAAACACACACATGCCCGATGCATCCCGGCTTGTGACTCACCTTGGCCATCAAACTCTTCCACCATCTGTTCCCATCCTGCCCTCCAAACTTCCCAGTCCCCACCAGACTGGCCATGTCACTCCTGCCTCTGGCCACTGTCTGCTCTCCACTCTGCCTACACTTTCTTCCTTCTAGACCGATAGCCACATACACGTGTGAACTGATTAGCTCGTGGAACGCATGTCTGTGCATAGCTGATCTGCCGCCCTCTGTAGGAGATGAGCCGGCTCTTTCTTCTTACCCGAGCTGTTTGTGTTTAACGTGTATTTTTAATTAAGTTTCGTTTACATTTTAAATCTAGTTCTTGGGGTGCCCAGGGGGCTCAGGCGGTTAAGCGTCCGACTTCGGCTCAGGTCATGATCTCACGGCTCATGGGTTCGAGCCCCGCGTTGGGTTCTGTGCTGACAACTCAGAGCCTGGAGCCTGTTTCGGGTTCCATGTCTCCCTCTCTCTCTGCCCCTCTCCCCTCCTGCTTAGTCGGTCTCTCTCTCAAAAATAAATAAACATTGGGGCGCCTGGGTGGCTTAGTTGGTTAAGCATCCGACTTTCGCTTAGGTCATGATCTCGCAGTTCGTGGGTTCGAGCCCCGCGTCGGGCTCTGTGCTGACTGCCAGCTCAGAGCCTGGAGCCTATTTCAGAGTCTGTATTTCCCTCTCTCTCTGACCCTCCCCTGCTCACGCTGTCTCTCTCTCTCTCCTAGAAATAAATAAAAAACGGAAGAACACACGAGTNGTCTCTCTCTCTCTCTCTCCTAGAAATAAATAAAAACATTTAAAAATAAATAAATAAATAAATAAACATTAAAAAAAAAATTTAATTGGCCTGGCTGGTTCTGTCTGCTTCAGCCAAGTGGGTGGCCCAGCGAACTAGGGTGCTTCGGTTTAGTAGAAATCCATACACACATAGCACATAGCTATGAGCTGAATAACCTCCCTGGCCAGTTTCCTCATCTGTGAAGTGAGCACACTGGGGACCCCCAAAGGCCCCCCAGCTCCCACTCTGCACATTCTAACGGAGGTGGCGGCTGGAATGCCTTCCCATGGTGCAGCCCCCACATCACCCAGGAGGGTGTTACCGTGCCTCCGTCCGGGCACTCACACACACTGTTAAAAAAGCCTCATGGGGGAGGCCTGGGGGGCTCAGGTGCTTAAAGGGCCCGACTCTTGGTTTCGGCTCATGATCTCACAGTTTTGTGAGTTCAAGCCCCGTGTCGGGCTCTGTGCTGACAGCGTGGTGCCTGCTTGGGATTCTCTCTCCCTCTCTCTGCCCTTCTGCTCATGCTCTCCCTCTAAATAAATAAATACATAAACATAAAAAGAAAAACAGAGGGAAAAAAAGCTCCATTGATAGGGGTGAAAAGATGGGGAAATGGGCAGTTTTAACCCTATGTCAGGGACACTCCGAACTTGAAACTGCATTATTTTGCCAGGAGTACATTAAATTCCTTGAACATCCAATACTTACAAATTCATCTTAAGGCAAAGTACACTTGAAACTGTGGTTACTGGGGGCACCTGGGGAGCTCACTTGGTTAAGCATCTGACTCTTGACTTCAGCTCAGGTCGTGATCCCACGGTTTGTGAGTTCAAGCCCCATATCGAGTGAGCATAAGCCCTACTTCTCTCTCTCTCTCTCTCTCTCTCTCTCTGCCCCTCACTCACTTGTGCTCTTTCTCTCAAAAAAGTTTAAGAAGGAACTTTGCCTCCTGGCCCCACAAACCCAGCTCAGACAGTCTGCTGCCCGGTCTCGGGAGGGAAATCAGGGGGCAATGGTTGAAGACCCTGACGGGGAACAGGGCTGGCCTCTGTGGTCTGAAGCTGGAAGTGTCCCCCAGCACGCCACACCACAGAGGCAGAGCCGCTGGGACAGATCGCGCAGCCCACGGAGCAGAGGACACATCCTCTCTGCCTTTTACAGAAAAGGCCCTTGGCAGTGCGCACACGCCCGTCAGACGGCAGCGGACGGCCGACTTGGGCCCGAAGGCCGCAGCACCCACTCAAGAGTCCACGCTAGCTGCTACGTGCGGCTCTCACCTTCAGGGCCTCCAGAGAGAAGGAACTGGGAGAGGTGTTCGGGTGCTGCGTCTCCGACGACAGAGCCTCAAACAATCTATCGATCTCGGCCTGCTCCTCGGGAAGAAAGTGTGAACAAAAACTCGTTCCCGCCTGGCTCCTGCTGTTGCCCATGTCTGCTCGCGCCCGGCACAGTTCTCTGCAGAAGACACCACGTAATAGAGGACAAAACACAGTCGTCATAGAAAATCAACGTTGACAATCACGTGGTCAGTTAGTCAATGCTGATTTAGCTGCAAAGAGGGGCTAGAACTCCTCACAGCTAAGTATCCTTCCAAGGCGGCAGCAAGGAGTCGATGCAAATAAAACGGGAAACCTGACCCCCCACCACCCCACCCCCCACCCCCGCCCCGGGAGCACACTCCTGGCCCAGCAGCCTGGATTGCTTGATTTGAAAACACGGTTCCAAGCTAATGTCACTAAGAAGGTAGAAATATCAGTATATCTGGAGCGCCTGGGTGGCTCAGTCAGTTGAGTGTCCGACTTCACCTCAGGTCACGATCTCGCGGTCCGTGGGTTCGAGCCCCACGTCCGGCTCTGCGCCTGACAGCTCAGAGCCTGGAACCTGCTTCAGATTCTGTGTAAGTGTGTGTCTCTCTCTGCCCCTCCTCAGCTCGCACTCTGCTTCTCTCAAAATAAATAAACATTAAAAAAAATTTTTTAAACAAAAAATAAAGAAATATCAGTACGTTAATCCAAATATCCATATTTTTTAAAACCTAACTTGAAAAGAGTCTGGAAGCCTGGATGATCACACATATTTGAATCAAATCAGTGCCTTGAAAAATACCACCTACAAAGTGAGTGGGGGACTGCACAGCATTTCCCTGTGATCCTGGCTCTGCTCCCTACCAGCTGTAGGGTCAGAAAAGCACAGTCAGGGCGTCTGGGGGGCTCAGTTGGTTGAGCGTCCGACTTCGGCTCAGCTCATGAGATCATGGTTCGTGGGTTCAAGCCCTGCGTCGGGCTCTGTGCTGACGGCACAGAGGCTGGTGCCTGCTTCCGCTTCTGTCTCCGGCTCTCTCTGCCCCTCCTCTGCTTGTGTGTGGGCTCTCTCTCAAAATAAACATTGAAAAAAAAAGAAAACCTAAGAAAGAAAAGCACAGAGGGGAAAAAACCCTCTCAGGAGGCCAAGTGCTGTGGCTCATTCATTCCATCCTGAGTCTTCGTCTGGAAGCTGACCTTGGTGAAACCGCTGGAGAAAAACACCTTCACAGCCCAGGAGTGAACAGCCTCACGCCGGGGTCAAGCCGGCCGAGGGGGGAAGAGGAGGGCAGGCTCACAAGACCTGGCTGATCAGTAATCCCTCGAGGGGAAATGGAGCACAGTAGGGATTTTTCCTCTTTCTTCTTCTTGAGGAGAGATTCACATAAACGTGAAACTAACCATTTTTAAATGACCAATTTGGCAGCATTTACGCATTCACAGTGCTGTGCGACCCAGTCTACCCAGTTCCAACACATCTTCGTCACCCCCCAAAGGAAACCTCATCCCCATTAGCGCTCACTCCCCGCCCCCTCCCCCAGCCCCTGGCCGCCACCTATGGCCATCTCCATGGGTGTCCCTGCTTTGGAAACTTCATATACACGGAAGGACGCCATCTGTGGTCTTCGGAGTCTGGTCTCTTTCCCTCGGAGCGTCTTCGAGGCTCATCCACGCCGTGGCACGTGCCACTATATCCTCCCTTCTCATGGCTGAATATTCTGGTATACAGTGGACCACGTTTGCTTTATCCGCTCATCTGTCGTCGGACGTTGGGGGCCGCCCCTACCTTCCGGGTGTCGGGAATACGGCCGCTAGGAACGTACGTATACATACCCTTGTTTGAGTCCCTGCTTTCAAATTCGGTGGGGGGGGCGGCGCACCCCTAGGAACCGGGCTGCTGGGTCACACGGTAAAGCCAATGTTTCATTTTTGAGGAACCGCCAGCCTGTTTTCCATTTTCCGTTCCCGGCAGCAAAACAGGAGGGTTCCCATTTCTCCACGGCCTCTCCGACGCTGCTATTATTTTTCGGCTTCCGTACAGCCATCCTGGCAGGGGGACCCATGTGCCCTGAAGAGGACCCCAGCAAGGACACAGCCAGGGACCGCAGTGCACTCGCAGAGGCGGCTGGAAACGAGGGCTTGCACAGCCCGACCGATCTAAACACTTCCACTCCTCCAGCCCCGGGCTCCAGGCCCAGCCTGCGTGAGGCTCTCCCGGTCCCCCCCAGGGACACGGCCCAAGCAGCCACGCCACGGCGCGCCCATCCTCTCCGCGAACCTTCCCGAGGGGCTGCGAAGTGGGCCCAACTGCCTGTACCCAACACCCCAGAAAACACCTGATTGAGCAGGACTTGAACGGGAGAGGAACCATCACCACCTGATTTTTAAATACCCGCCGATGCCAGAGGAGTAGCAAAGGGAGAGGTTACTAATATCGGGGACTCTGCACAACAGGGGAGTGCGGTCTGGACCCGGTGGGACTCCACGGCCGGGCAGGTCAATCACCCTCCCCGCAGTCGCAGGAGGAACAGAGAGGGGCCGAGTCGGCCTCGGGGAGAGCCTCGGGCGTCCCTGGGGACCGGGCGGGGGGGCCGGGGTCCCGCGCGGGAGCCTGCGCGGTGATCTCATCTCGGTCCACACAGCCTGGTGTTACTTTTGCTTTGTTCTGTCACAGCGTTATGTGCGTTGCGGGTAAATCACGGCAGCTCTAGTCCGAAGTATTTTCGGTGCCTATTCCGCCCCCCTCCCCCAACCAGGGAAATTCGAGATTCTCTCGAACTCTGTGTGAAGTTAGCCGGTCATCAAAAACCTGGGCACACAACTCTCCCGGTGCCCCCGCGTTGTCATTCCGCGCAAGTTCCAGAAACGGTCAGTGTAGAAAACTGCACCCCACTGACTGCATTGCATCCTCGGACGGGGTCTTCCTGCCAAAGATCATCAACTGCTTTGCTTCTAGAAAACCTTAAAGCCTGTGACCTGAGAAGGCCCGTGACTTACCTAAATGGCCAGAAGGGATGAAGGTCTTGCCAGCACCTGAGAGGGGAAGGGTTTGACATGTGAGCACGGCGTCACGTCAGAGCTGGCCCCTCGAGGAGGGCCGGCGGCTATGCCTACCCCAGACGGGCTTCCAAAGCTGGCCTCGTGGAGAGAGGCATGTGGTCCACTCGGGGCATCAGACTCCAGTCCCCTCTCTGGCTCAGAGGGCCCTCCCTGTCCACCTCCACCCGCCACCACCCTACTCAGCCTTTGTGTTCCAACACCACTCGGTCCTCCTGACTTTCCTAGAGCTGGCATCGCCTTAACTGAAACAAAGCACAGGCCCCTCCTCCTCGGCTCTGCTCACACTGCCCCCCTCACCCCTCCAGGCTCATGCCTGACTTCCCGGCTCAAACCTGAAAGTCAGAGACCTGGCCCTGCAAACCCGCCCAGCACCCAAGCAGCGCGGAGCACGCAGGCATGGCGACATGGCAGTCGGATGCCCGTCGCGTCCCTGGCCAGCCTCCCAGGTGGACCGGCCCATTCTCACACTGCCTCGTGGGCTCCCGTGTGCCTTTCCCGGCAAGCCGGCCCCCACCCACCCCCGGCGGGACTCACTCCCAACCCTACAGCACTCATGGGCCCCTTAGATCTGTGCCACTCGCCCCACCCCCACAACCGGTCCCCCTGCCCGAGGACAAGTTCCAGGATGCCCTCATCTCTACCTCCGGCCCGCCAGGGACTCCGCACATGCAATTCTGTTTGCTGAACCGTCCCGCCTTGAGAAAAACCCAGAAGCCACCGGGGAGAGCCACCAGCAAGGGTGGGGTCTCCAAGAGACACCACCTCCGGCCTCTCTTTCCCAGTGAGGCCACCTGATTGCCTGGCATCCAATTCCCCAAATCCTGAGAAAGCCTCCCCTGCTCACAGCCAAGGGATCGCTCTCCCAGGGGGGAGCCAGCCTCTTTTAAGAGGGACATTGGAGCCAAAAGGCCACCAACAGTTAAACGCCACTCCTCAGAAGTTTCCAAATGTTCCAGGTGAGGGAACAGTGGACTTAGAGGCTGTGCCACTAAGGGGCCAGAAGCCCCGCCTCCCAGGCCCTCCTCCTCCATCTTCAGTAGGTGACTCTGCGTCCCCTGTGTCCCCTGGGCCAGGCCCCAACAGAGAGAGGCGGCAGACACAGAGAAGCGTCAGGCAGGCGCCGGCCCGTCCTACAGGGACAGACAGACCAGAGCCGCAGGGGTCAGAGGGGATCGAAACGAGAACACGCATCAGGAGTTGAAAACGTCCTGAAGGACACGTTCCTGCTGGGGGTCCAGGCTCCCACGGGGGGGCTCACCCCGGAAGTGGGGACAGTGCACAAAGGTGCAGGGGTGCAGACTAAGATCACTGAGGGGAGCCGGCAGGGCTGGGGAGCCAGGGGGCCTCGTCTGCCCGCACTCGCCTCCCCACCCCCTCCTCTCTCCCACGGAAAATGGCCCTCCACTGTTGTCTGAAAACACAGCAGGACGGAGCGGCCTGGCCAGACCGCCCTGGGGCCCAGCCGGCTGTGGGGAAGGAACGGGGAGGCAACACGGACGACACGAGACATGTAGACCATGGTCAGCACGGGGCAGGCCCGGGCCGGATGGAGGAGACACCGGGAAAGGCCCAGAAGTAGGGCCAACTGGTAACACAGGTTTTCTTCAAGTAGGAGGGAGAAGGAAGGGTGTGCAGATGCCTCAGGCAGGACTCCACGTCTGGAGTCAGGGTCAGAGGGTGGCAGCCTCAGACCAGTCCCCTGCCCCCCCCCCCCCCCGCTACTGTGCTTGGCCTCCAGAAGGGAACGGACACATCTGCAACAGCCTCCCTCCTCTGAAAGAGCCCCCGCAAGGCAGCACGAAGACACGGCAATGGCACCACGCGCCCCCAGCTTGCCCAGCCTCGCCTCGGTCACTAGGATCTCACAGTGGGGAAGAGATGAAGGCCTCTGACACCTCCTTCCCAAATACAACTTCCTGAACTGCCTTCCCTGGCAGTGGTTTGCTCACGGGACCCTCCTGGGACGTAGGACAGCCTCTTTCCCTGGCGACCCTGGCCTGAGTCTTTTGCAGGCTCACTCAGACCAAGTTCTCTTTCAGCAGGAAGCACCTCGATGTTGCTTTAAGACCGCTTACATCAGCGGTTCCCAACTGGGGGCCGTTTTGTCCCCGAGGGCACATCTGGCCATGAGGTCTGCTGTGGATGCTGATGTCTAGGGGGGAGAAAGCAGGGATGCTGAATCTCCTACACTGCACAGGACAGGCCCCCACAACAAATTATGTGGCCCCAAAAGCTAGAGGGCTGAAGGTGAGAAACTGGCCTTCCAGGCTGCGGGGCAGTGCGGCAGAGTCCAAGCACCCACAGTGCACAGAGAATCCCGAACCCTCACCTCTCGGCACAGGGGCCTGAACTCTGCAGTCATGGGGTAAGCCAAGATGGTCAGACGCAAGTTCAAGTTCAGACACTGGCCGGTTTTATGACGATGAGCAAGTTACTAAGCCTTTTCCAACCTTAGTAAAAATGTGGGAGGTGCTACCAGCCCTGTACTGAGGACGAAAAGATTAAATGAGGTAACACAGGGCATTTGATTCTGCTTTCTGGGTGCCAGAGATGGAGACAAATGCAAGCAAGGCAAGGTTGAGTCCCTGCCCAGGAACAAGGGAAGCGGCCCAGCTTGGAAGCAAGGCACCCCCTCGGTGCTGGAAGAGCCATCTGCCTGCAGAACGCAGCCGCAGTTCCGGCTGGAGTCCCAGGAGAGCGCAGTGGGCCCTCACAGCCTCCCCAGGCTGCCTCCTGTCCTGGGGTGCTCTCCCCTCTGGCCGCCAACATCCAGCCCCTGCCTCTAAGGGACCACTGTCCTGAGAGCAGTCACCTGACCCTCACTGCCCCCTCTCTGGAAAGACCCCCAACCACCTCATCAGGACATATGGACTTCAAGCCCTGCTTCCATCCTAGAGCCAGCAGCCCTCTGCGAAGGGTCAGCTCCGGCCTGGGCCCGCCGTCAGGCTGCGCGGAGCCCCTGCTGGCCGGAAGGTGACCTGGCCTGCTCCAGCCCAAGGCTGGCTTCCCTTCCTCCAGGGAGCCCCACTGGCTAGTCTGCAGCGCCGTCGGCGCCAAAGCGCTGTTTTTCTCCCCTCTGTGAACTTGGCCACCAGCTCCACCCTCCTGGGACACAGCTAGTAAGTTATGGTCAGAATCCAGGACGGCCCACTCCCACCCTCTGACCCCTCCTCCCACAGATGCTCCCCAGTGCTTCCCGCATCTATGCCGCCTCTACCACCGCCTTCCCAAGAGGGGGCCTCAACCCGGGGGACCCTAGGGTAAGCACCTGCTGGGACCCTCGGATCATAACCACACGAAAGGCAGAAGAAGCGGGGGCTTTTGTGCTCCGACTGACCACACGGGGAGACCCTCCCTGCCTCCCTCGCAGCTGTCCGCCCCATACCCCCCCACGTCTCCCATCCTGGAGCCCAGAGGAGTGGGTGTCCTGAGAGGGGCAGGGCCCAAGGCCAATCCGGGCCCGGGGCCTTCTCCCCCGACCCCTCCCCCGCTCGGCTGCTCCCTCCGGACCACAGGCCAACGCCCCCCACTCGGCTCCCAGCCGCCCTCCGCCCCAGCGGAACCTGCCTTTCTGGTCTCCGGCGTGGATTTTCCTCGGGAGCAGCCCGCCCCCGTTGCCAGGCGACGGCGTTGACGGGCGGCTCTCTGCCCCAGTAGCAGACAAGGAGGCTGAGGGGGCCGAGCCCTGGAAATGAGTCAGCCAATGGCCATGCACCTCACGGCGACTGGCTGCCACGGGCGGGGGCGGGGCCGGGGCGGGGCCGGGGCGGGGCCAGCAGGCCGGAAGGAGGACGCGGAGGGGCGGGGTTCCCGCGGCGAGCGGCTGGGGACGGATGGGGGCGGGAGTCTGGGCCGCGGGACAAGCTGGGGTGTGGCTGGGATGAGAGAGTAGCTGGCGGAGAGGGGAGTGGGCCCAGCGGAGACCACGAGGGAAGAGGCAGGTAACGGGCTGCGGGATGTTCCCGCGGACCCCGACCCAGGCAGCTCCCCGGATACCACTCGCCCTCCCACCACCGGTTTTGGCCAGGAGCCCCGCCCACCTGGAAGAAGGTACCGCCCCCTAACCTTGAGCCTGGTCTCCTGCCCTCCCCCAGGTAACCGGGTCCTCGGCCGGCATTCACTAACTCGTCTTTCCAGCAGCATTTAGCCGGGCCCATGGCCATTCCGGCCTTGACCTTGACCGACTCCCCCCGACCCACGCTCTTCTCCAGTCCCCCCCCACACACCCCCCCCGCTCCACTCCAAAATGTTTCCAGACTAGTCCCACTCACTCACCTTCCATTCCTTCCTCAAACCTGGCCCCAGGGGCCCTGTCCCTAAACCCAGCGGGCACTTTCAGTCCGCACACGCAGGCCCTCCTCCCTGGGCTTCGAGCTCGCTTGTCCCCGGCCTCTCCCCCCCCCCCTCGCCGCCTTCTCCCCATGCACCCCTTCCTGAGCTAACTAAGCCTTCCTGGGGGCTTCGGTTCCACCAGTTCACTGTGCTGTCCACCCCTCCCCCCAGCCTGCACTTTGACCCCATATGCTCTTAGCAGGCATCTCTGCAAGGCTGTACCTCAAATTCAGCCCAGCGGAACCCGAACTCTTCCCTCCGAAACTGTTCCTCTTTACCTCCTTCCTCGCTGCATGTCAGAACCTGCCACGCCGCCTCCTCCCTCTCTCCCCAGGTTGGTTTACCTCCAACCTGGGTCCTAAATCCACCTCTTTCCCCTCATGTCCCCGGGAGCCCCCTCATCCAGACGGGACTGCTGTAACAGCCTCCTCCAAGCCCCCCTGGAGTCAACGGAGCACTTAACTGACAAATACCCATGCTGCCCCCTAGAGACTAAGAGATAGAACTGCTGGGCCCCAATGCAGAAGCAGATAAAGCCAGCTGATGGTATTTACGTTCCTAAACTTCACAAGGAACGTTCTTTCTCAAGGATGTGTGCCTGTACCTGCAAAGTATCATAAGGATCCCTTTGTGTAATGAATGTTTCATTCAAAAAGAACTTTAAACTCCAAAATCATGGCGTAGCAAAACCTTTGCTGTTGGAAACTCTGTCTGTAAGAATGGACACTTACTTCCTGCTCCGGCCTGGAGAATTTAAGTCAGCTTTGCCAGAGGAGAGCCTGGATTTCCAACCCAGGTCGGAGCTCCAGAACGGCTGTGGTTCCCAAGGGAACAGAGCCACCGGTGCACTTTGGAGCCCAGACCTGACGCGGGTCCCTTCCACATGGCCCTGCTTGAAAGAAGACACTGCTTCCTTCAAACTCCACCCAAACCTCACTTTCCACAAAACCCTATGAAAGCTCACTCTCTACCTGTGTCAGGTGAGCTGCCCAACGCTCACCGGGTTAACAAACCTGCTTTGCCAGACGATGGGGGTGATCCTGGTGGAAGTCGAAGGCCCAAAAGGGCAGAGATAGTGCTGGCCTCTCCAGTTGGTAGACGCACACTGAAGGCCTGCTGCCTGCCAGGCAGTGGGACCCAGCTGTGCGCTGCATCCCTTCCTCATCATCTCCACTTGCTGAATGAATGGGGGTTGGGGGATGATAATTACATCCAAGGGCGAGGATGGCTGAGGCGGGGAGGGGGAGGTTTGGGAATGATAAAGGGGAAAAACAAGCACAGTGAGAGGCTATCATGAGGAAACAGGTGAGAGAGAAGAAAACACAGAGCGATGTCAAGGCTCCAAAGGAACTCAGGAGCCGCCTGAACAGTTTCGTTTCTTGTGCCTACGATCTACTGCCTTTCCAAGCTCTTTCTGCTCCCCTCGTCTCCACCCTCCCTACCAATCAGTTGCTTGGCCATTTTCCAGCTGTAAAACATGGTCCCTTGAGGCACAAATGGGCTGAGCACCACGGAGAGGCAGATCCATGAGAACCAAGTGTCCCAAAGCCCAGCCACCAGCATGTCCCGCGGGCCAACGACACCAGCGAAGGAGCCCTGCCCTCCAGCTCATTCAAGTCGGGTTTGTGCCGCCTGCAGCCAGGGTAGCGAAAAGATTCGAGCCCCCTGTGAGCCAAAGCAGACCGACTCACAGCTGGTTTGATAGGGTTCTAACCTCCAGAGCCAGGGACTCCCCCGCGCCCATTGCCTGCATCTGGGATGGCGATGGCGCTGCCGGCCCGGCCCCACGCCACCCTCACCCCACCCTGGCTGTGCTTTGGCCTCAAGAAGCCTCTTGGTAATATCCACAGTAGCTACACTGTGCACAGAGTCCATCTGTTTTCCAGTCCCACGAGCCGGTGATTCTAAGCAACATCAGTGATTTAACTGTCCTCCATGAAAAAGGCTTTTACTGGTCGAAGCACTAAGCTAGGGGCTGGCTGCATTACCCTGGGAAAGGCCAGATAGTAAATATTTTCGTTATTTCAAGCCATTCAGGCTCTGTCACAACTACTCCATAATGCTGTCATTGCACAAGCCAGCCACAGACAATATACAAACCACTGAGTGTGGCTGTGTTCCGCTAGGACTTTAATGATAGACACTGAAATGTGAATTTCACATAATTTTCACACGTCCTGAAATATTCTTCTTTTGCTTCCCCCCATACACACACCATTTAAAATGTGAAGATCTTTCATAGCTCGCTGGCTGTACAAAAACAGGCAGCCAGCCAGATCTGGCTCACAAGTTAGCACAGTTAACGGTCGTGCGTAGTAATATTTATATAAGTTTGAAATTTGCACATTTGTGTGGCAAACCTTTAAAAACTGGGTGTTTGGGGGAGAACTCCCCACCATAAGTCTGGCCCCCACATAGCTGTAGGCGTTCATCTCAAGAGTAAGTTTGAAATATCGGGAATTTCCGAGCTCACTTAGGGTGTGCCTTGTACCCCAGCCTCTCCTGGGGGTACATTTTCTTGTGTTTTTCGAAGTGCGGATTTGAAGTAAACACTGGAAACATGGTGATCACCGACACCCAGAAACAGACGTTGCTCATTCTGCATGACCCCTGGAGTTTTTGTGATTAACAGTTCTCAACAACAGAGCAGTCTAAAAGCCTTTGGAATGAATCCCAAACACACAAAGGCATGAGCAGTTTTCCAGCTTCTGGAATGTACTATGTAATGAAATTTGAATCAATCTGGGTCAAACGTAGGCTTGCGTCTAAGGCTTTCCCTATTTGTGGAGCTATGGGTCATGAAAGAAGTTTAGAAAGTTAATGAAACAGGTGCATATATATGACAGACAAAATAATAAATGTGGGAGAAGAGGGAAATCTCCCCTTCAAAAAAAAGAAACCCAGAAATTTATGTAGACGCTCTGTAGTGAAGGAGGTAGAGCTTAACTTGCCCCGCACAATACTCTCTTCCAAAGGGGACTGGATGGAAATGGGAGAGGGGTTAATCCTACGGTGCAGAAGCCTGACAAAAGCGACCTGGGCCATGTGCTCAAGGTCAACATCAATAGCGATGAGTTGCATTGATGGCATGGGCCCTTCTGACCAGAGGGCCTCTCTGTGACTGTTGCTGAGAACACCCTTGGGGAGGGTCTGGGAAGTCCTGTCCCAAGGTCGCCCCCTCTTCCCCACACTACAGCCCGTCCAGGATCAGCAAGCGCCGTTCATTCATTGGGTCAGCGTTGTCCTGCATGCGTAGGACCCCTCGCTCTCCGGTCAGCCCGTCAGCTTTCAGCTCTACTCACCATCTCCTCCCACCCGGCTGCACCCCCAGGCTATCCTTCCCCTCCAGGCTGCCTGGCACGCCCTTCCATGCCTTTCCATGCCCTTCTCTCCTGAGAGCTCACATCTCCACTCCAGGGAGAGTTAATCCCTCCCAGAAAGGGGGTCTTAAAGGCTGCGGAGATGAGGGGAAATCTGAAGGGGACCTGTGGGGGGCTGAGGCCATTTCCCCAGGAGTCAGTGGGGAGGCCGCCTCTCACCTCAGGACCGGGGGTGGGGGAGCGGCAGTCCCTCCCAGGGCTCCCGCCAATGTCCGCGTCACACACATACTGCCAGAGGCGCAGGCCCCGCGGAGAAGGGGCTGCTCCCGGCAGGGACAGTCCCCGCCACGCAGCTGCTCATCAGAGGTGCGGGATCTGGACAGGATTCAGGATGCAAAGTGGGCATGGCCGCCTGGAGTCACCGTGAAAAAGACAGGCTGCAGGGGCGTGAGCTGGCCCCGGACAAGCTGGGAGCCACCAGCCAAAGGACGGGCAGTGCCCGTCAGGAGTGCTGCGGTGGGCCAGGAAGCGCCCCAAGGATGCACAGACGTGGACATGAGATCAAGATGTGCCGTGAACATGGCCCGAAGCCAGCTTGCCACAGCTGGAGGCCAAACAGCACCCCCTCCAGCCCCACCGAAACATCCACTTGCTAATTTTCAGAACCTGTGACTGTGCCTTACTTGGCAAAAGGGACTTTGCAGATGTGATTACGGATCTTGAAAGGGGAAGAGAACCCCCTGGACTCTCCAGGTGAGCCCAGTGTCATCACAGGTCCTTCTAAGAGGGAGACAGGAAGGTCAGAGCCAGACAAGGGGACACAATGGTAGAAGGAGAGGGGGGTAGGGAGGGCTGCGTTACTGGCTTGAAGATGGAGAAAGGATTTCGAGAAGCCAGAAAAGGCAGGGGAGCAATTCTCCTCTCGAACCTCGGCGAGAACACAGACGTGCTGACATCTCAGTTTCAGGCGTGTGACCTCCTGAATGTAAGAGCGTAAGTTACTACCTTCTTAAGCCGCTGGGCTGGCGGTGGTGTCGTTTGCTACTGCTGCTCCTCAAGAAGAGAGGCCTGGCCCTCCTCCCCTCCTCCCTCCCGCAGCTGGGAGCCTGCAGGGGTCAGTCAGAAACAGGGTTGCCAGATGTAGCAAATCAACACAAGATGCCCAGTTAAATTTGACTTGCAGATCAACAGTAATTTTTTTAGGAGAGTCCCAAATGTTGCAAGGGACCTACTTACACGAAAAAGAAATTACTGAAGGCCCTTCTGAGATACGCACGTTACTGGGCTCGCTCCCTCCAGCTCCACTGAGCGGGTTCAAAGGGCAGCAGGAAATGAAGATAATGTCATGATTGCACCTGCAAGGCCGTCCTGGACCGACCGGTGACAGTGGGATAGAAAGCTCAATCTCTAGCTCAAGGTCAAGGGGCAAACAGAAGCAGCCACGATGAAGACTTCTGTATTTGCTTTGAGTCTTCTCCGCCCCCCCCCCCCCCCCCCCCCCCGCTGGTTTAAGAGTCACTGCAGGGCAGGAAACAGGCTTTCACTTTCCAGACCCGGACCTGTCACAGCGAATGTGGCCATATGCCCACAAGGTGGCGCTCACGATCACTGCAAGATACTTTGCTACAGTCGTGTGTTTTTCAAGGGCTCGGGGTTGTAAGTTTGAGCCCCACATTGGGTGTAGAGATTACTTAAAAATAACATCTTTAGGGGCGCCTGGGTGGCTCGGTCGGTAGGTCATCAGACTCTAGATCTCAGCTCAGGTCTTGATCTCTGGGTCATGAGTTCAAGCCCCATGTTGGCCTCCATATTACTTAAAAAAAATAATAAAATAAAATATTTACTAAAATAAAATATTCCAGATGAAGGTTAGATTTACACGACTGTTGAAAGTATAATATGCGAGGCGCCTGGGTGGTCCAGTCGGTTACGCGTCTAATTCTTGATCTCTGCTCCGGGCATAATCTCTCAGTTCATGAGTTCGAGCCTCACATCAGGCTCTGCACTGACAGTGTGGGGGCTGTTTGGAATTCTGTCT